ATTAGTGCTTCAACTAAATTATTTCTTAACATAACAAAATCAGCAAAAGCTATCCAAAATGATAAGAGATGCGGAGCTCGACAACATAATAAATGACAAACAAACAAACCTAAAGCAGGTTGGTGCTCCCCACTCCAAACAAATATCAAAAATAATCTATAAGGAAGAACACAACTAATAAAGCTGTCAGAAGTAGTGGTGGCAAGAAGGAATGAGCGAGAGAGAGAAGTCTGCTTCCATCCGTTTTAAAAGCCTGATGTCACCAAATCAACCAAAAGAAAACTGAAAAGAGAAAAAAATACAAACAAGATCAATTAAAAGTAATATTTACGGGCAGGATTGAATGCCACCTGTAACAGTTACTAAACATTTGGGGAAAATTTCAAGTCAGCAGCACCTTTAGAAATATGTTTTCTAAGAAAAATAGTGACCTGTTCAATACTTATTTCCACTGCTGTACATTTATTCGCACTACATTTTTTTGTCAAATATTAGTACTTTTATTCAAGTATGATTTTCCTGTACTTTTCCCGTCTGACAACAAAACGAAGCTTTTAGAATCTAGAAGAAACATTTTCATTGATGTTTTGCAGTGTTTTGTTGCCTTTGGCACTGGATACTGTAGCACGGTTTCAAGACTCGCGTGTTTTTGGAGAGTACTTTTAAAAGAAGTGTCAGAAACTTGGTATTGAGTGAAGGTCATCTCAGCACACAGCAAAAAAAAAATAAAAATGTATATATGTAAGAAATGAAAAAGCAACCAGCAATGCGTTCAGATTTAAATCTCTCTGAAAACCTGAGAGGAAAGATGAAAACAGTGAGCAGGCAGTGTCGAAATCTGGGAGAATTAAAACACAAGACGATCAGGCCAAACTGGCAGTACAGTAGTGTGGGAAGCTTATCCGTGGCTCTGAACACTGGATTGCAGCAATTCAGTTTGTGCCACAGAATATTAAGTGTACGAGGGAAATGCTGTTTTGTTTTCTAGGTGGAAGACATAATTATGTGCATGCAAATTTCAGCAGTGCTACTAGTGTAATTAATGATTGTGGAGACAAAATACTATTAATTTGTCTGCAAAAATGTGCTTTCCACCGTGAGGATGCATGTTTTATGTGTATTTTGTTTTTGTCTGTATTAGTGTCTTGAAGAATGCAAGTGTGGCAGCTTGTTCGGCAGCATGTATTGTAGCACATGTTTCTGGTTCACTCGCTCACTCTCTCTTTCTGCACTTTCCGTATTGTTGCCAGTTAGTAATAAAAACCATGTGGAACAGACTGAGAGATGGATAGAACTGCTGTATTGTGTGTGTGAGAGAGTCCAGTCCTTGGACTTACATCACTACATTTTTTTTTTTTTTTGTAAATGCAGTGCCATTCTTAAAGGAACAGTTCATCTAAAAGGAACATTTTGTCTTTACTTATTCACCCCATCTCGTTTCAGTCCTGTGCTATATTTTTAAGAGCGCAATTTTAGTCTGAATATCAGGATTTTTCTACATGAACATTGTTTATGCATATTGATATAGACAAAAAAATATATAATATTAAATACTAATATAGAATATACAGTGCATTCGGAAAATATTTATAGCGCTTCACTTTTTCCACATTTTTTTATGTGACAGCCTCATTCCAAAATGAATTAAATTAATTTATTCAACATTCTACAAACAATAACAATAATAATAATAACCCATAATGAAAATGTGAAAAAATATTTTTTTTAATTGTTGCAAATTTACTAAAAAAAAAAAAAAAACTGAAAAAATAAAAATAAAAATCACATGTACATCAGTATTCATAGCCTTTGCAGTGAAGCTCTAAATTGAGCTCTAAAGAGCTCTGGTACATTCTGTTTCCACTGATCATTCTTGAGATGTTCCAGCAGCTTCACCTGTTGTTGATTCAGTTGATTGGACATGATTTGAAAAGGCACACACCTGTCTATATAAGCTCCCAGGGTTGACAGTGCATGTCAAAGCACAAACCAAGCATGAAGACAAAGGAAATGTCTGTAGACCTCCGAGACAGGATTATCTCAATTACTCCAGTGTTCTTCTGTGGAGAGAGGAGAACTTTACAGAAAGACAACCATCTGTGCAGCAATCAACCAATCATGCTAGAGTGGCCAGACGGAAGACACTCCCCGCCTGGAATTTGCCAAAAGGCATCTGAAGGACTTTAGACTATAAGAAGCTAAATTCTCTGGTCTGATGAGACTCAAATTGAACTCTTTAGAGTGAATGCCAGGTGTTAAGTTTGGAGAAAACCAAGCACCGCTCATCACCAGGCTGACACCCCGTGACGCATGGTGGTGGCAGCATCATGCTGTGGGGATGTGTTTCAGCAGCAGGAACTGGAAGACTAGTCCGGTTAGAGGGAAAGATGAATGCAGCAATGTACAGAGACATCCTGAATGACCTGCTTCAGAGTGCTCTTGACCTCAGACTGGGGCGACGGTTCATCTTCCAGCAGGACAATGACCCAAAGCACACAGCCAAAGTATCAATAGAATGGCTTCACAACAACTCGGTGAATGTTCTTGAGTGGCCCAGCCAGAGTCCAGACCTAAATCCTATTGAAGATCTCTGTAGAGATCTGAAAATGGCTGTACACAGTCACTTTCCAACTTGATAGAGTTGAGAGGTACTGCTAGGAGGAATAGGCAAAAACTCCCAAAGACAGGTGTGCCAAGCTTGTGGCATCATATTGAAAAAAAATTGAGGCTGTAATTGCTGCCAAAGGTGTATCAACAAAGTATTGAGCAAAGGCTGTGAATACTGATGTACATCTGATTTTTCAGCTTTTTTATTTTTAATAAATTTGCAACAATTTCAAAAACATTTTTTTCACATTGTCATTATGGGGTATTGTGTGCAGAATGTTTAGGAAATAAATGAATTCAATCGTTTTGGAATATGGCTGTCATATAAAAAATGTGGAAAAAGTGAAGTGCTATGAATACTTTCTGGATGCACTGTAGATACTGGGTGGCACTGTGGCACAGTGGGTAGTGCTGTCAACTCACAGCTAAAAGGTTAAGTCAGTTGGCATTTCTGTGTGGAGTTTGCAAACACATGTGCTATTGGTAAATTAAATAAGCTAAATTGTCCTAAGTGTATGTGTGTGAATAAGAGTGTGTGGATGTTTCCCAGAACTGGGTTGCAGCTGAAAGGGCATCTGCTGCATAAAACATATGCTGGAAAGTTGGTGGTTCATTCCGCTGTGGCAACCCGTGAATAATAAAGGGACTAAGCCGAAAAGAAAATGAATGAATGAATATAGATACTAAAATAAATAATATAGATTTAAAGTACTAGTACACAATTGCTACATGCAATTTTATTGCATAATATTTTTTTTTGCAATACAACATTCTCTTTAATCAAGAACATGTTGTTAAAATAAACATTTTGTCTTCATTTATTCACCCCATCTATTTTCAGTCCTGTGCTTTATTTTTAAATGCACAATTTTAGTCTGAATATCAAGATTTTCAAAAATACACATTTCACATTTTAGGATTTTTAAAAATACACAATTTTTTGTGCATATATATATATATGTGTGTATATATATATATATATATATATATATATATATATATACATATATATATACATATATATATATATACACACATATATATATATATATATATATAAGAAAAATATAATAATAGTTTTAAAATGCAATACTAGTGCATATGTGCAATTTTTATTTATTATTACTATTTTTGCATGGCCATTTACAGAATATAGTTTTCTCTTTTATTCTGATTGTATTTTTTCACATAAAATAATCAGTTTAAAATGGCATGAGAATAAATTATTTGACTTGTTTGAAATATTATTGCATGCACTCTGTTATTTCACATAAATATAGATTTTTTTTTATTCCCCGTCCATTCACATATTTTTCATCCATCCATCTCTTTTTTTTCCAGCTCCACATCCCCATCCTCTCGTCCCTTTGCTGCCCCCTGCTGCCACATCACAACTTTCATTTTTGCATTGTTTATTGATTCCATCCTCTTCATTCAGGTCATGCTTTGTTTGTATGTTTTAGAGACTTTATTTATACGGATTTAAACAATATTACCCATTTCATTTGGGACTAATTTTTAAATAAAATTTACCATCATAGTCATTTTTAAACATTAGTGTAAAAGTTATATTTTTAAACATTAGTATTTTATATTACTTTTAAATTTGTGAGAGCTTTATTAAAAAAAAAAAAAAAAAACATGTTTAAAAAGGACTAAAAAGCAATAAACTGAGACAGACCAACATCTGATCATAATATAATGCCTACAACCACCACTGTAAGTAATAATTAAACCTACAAATACAGTATTTTGCTATAAAATGCAGTGGCTGTTATGAACATTTCACCACTTTTACTAAGATGATGTTGTTAATTTTCCTATTGTTTTCAATTCTTCAATTTATACGAGGTGCTAATAATTTTAATTTTAAAGCGATTGCTGATTATTGCGAGATCACAATGTTTGAGGCTGTCATTTGTTTCTTTTACTAAAAGTATATTTGAAATACATGTTCTCCCCATGTTTGCATGCGGTAGAACATGCGGTACAGGTGAATTGGCCAGGCTAAATTGTCTGTAGTACATGTGTGTGAATGAGTGTGTATGGGTGTTTCCCAGAGATGGGTTGCGGCTGGAAGGGCATCCGCTGCGTAAAACATATGCTGGATAAGTTGGTGGTTCATTCCACTGTGGCTACCCCAGATTAATAAAGGGACTAAGCTGAAAGGAAAATGAAGGAATGAATATTTGAAATCTATATATAAAGGCCAGATGTAAAGCGGTGCCTCTCCACTGAGACATATGTTGTAGTGCCATAGTGAGGCCTGCAATCTATTGCATTGGAAAGAAAACTATGTAACCATGGTTACCGTTCCACTCATATTCTATTGCCATGGTTACAACTGTTCTCTAACTGTATCGCCATAGTGACAAGTGTCCTTTCGCCCACAGGGATAACACAAAGCATGGCCACAGCAGCAGACACGGTAAGAACAGCTGCAATCATGTCAATAGCATGATCGACTGTGATGTACAGTACTGCTTTGCATTCCTTTACAGAAGTGTTGCGTGCAATTAGTTACAAAGTGACAGGTTACTGTAATTAAATTACTTTTCTGCTGAAAAAGTAAAGAAAGGGATTACTTTTAATTTTTACATAGCTTATTTACAGTTACTGGCATCACAGTGGCGCAGTGGGTAGCACAATCGCCTCACAGCAAGGTCGCTGGTTCGAGCCCCGGCTGGACCAGTTGGCATTTCTGTGTGGAGTTTGCATGTTCTCCCCGAGTTGGCGTGGGTTTCCTCCACAGTTCAAACACATGCGGTAAAGGGGAATTGAATAAAATAAGTTGGCCCTAGTGTATGTGTGTGAATGTGAACGTTTTTTGTGTTTCCCAGAACTGGTTTGCCGCTGGAAGGGCATCCGCTGTGTAAAACATATGCTGGATAAGTTGGCAGTTCATTCCGCTGTGGTGACCCCAGATTAATAAAGGGACTAAGCCGAAAAGAAAATGAATGAGTGAATTACAGTTACTTAAACTTGCGTGAAATACTACAACTACATTCAGTCATTCAGTAGATGCATTTGTCTAAAGCAACTTACAATTGAGTATATAAATACTGTACATAGGTTCAACAGATCTATATAAACCAATCCAGAGAAGCAGAGTAATATATATTTTGCTGAATATATTTGCTATTTTCAACTAAAGAACATTATTATTTATTAATAAAAGTACATATGGTTAAGAACAAAAATGTATTGAGAAATTTGTTCATGGCAATATAAGATATAAATTCAGAGAAGCAGAGAAACTGTAAATATCACACACACACACACACACACACACACACAAACACACACACACACACACACACAGTTGAAGTCAGAATTATTAGCCCCCCTTTGGATTTTTTTTTCTTTTTTAGGTAGATATTTTTCATATTAACTAAAAAATCTATTTGTCAGACAACTGCGCATGCTTAAGCAGCAATGTATTTTAAATGTATGCCAGTATGAAATATGGTGCCATTACATTGAAATGTTTTGTATTTTGAACATGTATATTTTTTATATATTTCTTTTTTTATACATACATACATACATACCAGTTAAAGTCAGAATTTCATTTATTAATTTTTTTTTCTTTTTTAAATATTTCCCAAATGATGTTTAACAGCAGGTAAATTTCACAATATGTCTGATAATATTTTTTATTCTGAAAAAAAGTCTTATTTGTTTTATTTCGGCTAGAATAAAAGCAGTTTTTAATTTTTTATGAATAATTTTAAGGTCAATATTATTAGCCCCTTTAAGCGATTTTTTTTTCTGTCTTCAGAACAAACCATCATTATACACAAACTTGGCTAATTACCCTAACCTGCCTAGTTAACCTAATTAACCTAGTTAAGCCTTTAAATGTCACTTAAAGCTGTATTGAAGTGTCTTGAAGAATATCTAGTTGAAAATATTTAGTCATCATGGCAGAGATAAAACAAATCAGTTATGAGAGATTAGTTATTAAAACTATTATATTTAGAAATATTGAAGAAATCTGCTCTCTGTTAAACAGAAATTGGGGAAAAAAAATAAACGGGGCGGCTAATAATTTTTGACTTCAACTGTACACACACACACACACACACACACACACACACACACACACACATACATACGTTCGTTTTTTTAAACAAAACTAAAAGTTTTAGTTTGACTTTAATTTCTATTGTCTATGCCAAGGGTGCCCAAACTGTTTCGTATAAAGGGCCTAAAACCAAATATCATTAGGAGCTGTGGGCTGAAGATAAATATACCAAACTATATTACATTAAAGTTGCCAAGGGTAATTTCCTAATTTATTAGAAAACAGTATTTTAAATCATATTAACTAATGCAGTATAACATTTAAAATGATATCTTATTGCAATAAAAGCATAAACAACCACATTTATAACAGTGGAGTGTAAAGCTAAATACACAAGTCAAGCAGAACCTGCCTTTGCCTTGATTTGTCCTCTATCTGTCGGGTGACAGTATGTATATTTAAACTACATCTGATTAATTGACATTGTTTTATTGAATCATTTCAGCAAGCTTTTGACAATAAAACAAACAAACAAAAGGTTTAGATTTGAAATCACAATCTCTAAACCATCCCCATCATTCTTCCTCTCTTTTCAGATGGCATGGTGGGCCAAATTAAAGGTTACCATGGGATAGCTTTTGTCAACTGGCCCTAGTTTGGGCATCCCTGGTCTATGCAATGAGATTTAAGTTCATTTTTACTATTTAGTAATTACTTTTTGATCAACTAAATTGATTACTATTTAGACAAATTAATTAGAGAAGTTATATTTTTGAAGTAACTTAACCAACATTGCTTAGCAATTCATGAACATGTCCTTTTGTCTCCTTTTTCCATAGGAAAGAACTGCCTATTGTCTGCACCCCTGAAAACTGAGGACCCAAGCCTGATGCTCAGATTAATTCTGCTCAAGAATATCATAGTGAGAGGAGAGAGATTACAAACTTACATGCTGAACTGGACCTAGCTTACAGTTAAACTCAGCCCGGAACCATCGCTGATACGGAAATACAGAATATCACACATATAAATACGGAAATCCTGATCTGCGATTTTGGGTGTAATGAGCCGTCTGTCAGGTCGTCTGCGCTCTGGAGGTGTTCGCTTGACTTGTGAGGCACTGCCAGAAAAGGACTGCAATGATGATGAGGGACCCTCTCTATGGGAGGGGGATGCAGAGCCCGAGGCCACATCCATGGGACCCAGCGATGCTAATCCAGCCAGCGCACTACATTACAACTTTTATTCACCTCCCTCTTTAGCTAATGGCCTGCGGAACCATGAGGAGCAGCTCCGACGTAGAGCAAGGAGACGCAGACCGACAGAATACGTGGAGCAAATACACACACAAGAACAAACGCGCATTCAGCAAAACACACAACCACAGATGCACTCACTCACACAACCAAGCACACACCTGCAGCCTCATACACACATTCCGGTGGATGCACATTTGTGGGTGGACACGAACACGCTAACACATAAGCACTCGCAAAAAGGCATGTGCACACCTACTAGCGCCTCACTTATGGAGCTGGATCCCTCCCTTATCCCAGAAGATTTATCTTTACCTTCTAAGACTGAAGTGCATAGTGTACAGGTTCAGCCTGCCCCTTTGTTACACACCACCCTGGACACAAACACTTTGACACCTCCACAGTACAACCCTTCCTCCTTACCCAAGGAGGAACACAATTCGTGTAAGCCAGAAATGGACGACAGCACTGGCCTCGAGCATATAAAAGGCCAAGCCGCTGCCATGACCTCTGTGGAGGCTGAAAGGAAGTATACACTGCGCAGCTCTGGTCGACCACGTTTTCCCTGCCATCTTCGAAAATCATCCCGCTTACGCAGAGCTCCAGAAGATCACATGTTCAAACGGGAACTGGACCAAAAGGACGAAGAAGAAGAGGAGAATATAGTGTGGAGAACAGAGGATATCAGTCAAATAGTGGAACATCTGCCAGAGGTGTGTGCTGCTGAATCCTCTTTTGAGGTTTTACCACCAACAGATACATCGGTAGACATTACACCAAATCACAGCATGATAACATCAGAGGCAGAGGGCAGTGTTACTCAATCAGTTAGAGGGAAGCGGCAGGGACGTTATATAGGTGTGAAAAGGATTGTGGTAAAAGTAGCCAGAATACCTGTTCACATGAGCCGACGTCAAAAAAGCTACAAGATCTCATCCCTGGAGCCTGTGAGTGCTCCACCCCGTGGAGAAGGGGTCACAACTGGAGAAGGGCCTGAGGGGGGTGTAGGGAGTGAGCCAGTATCTAACGTGCCCCGAGAGCCCACAGCACTTCTTCGCATGAAAAACAATGGAAAGAGTGTGATGGTAATGTTTCCGCCAGGAGAGCTTCCTGTGATCTTGAAGCGACGCAGGGGACGTCCTCCTAAACAGGCTTTACCTGGACAACCTGACATGCATGAAACTAGAGTCGGAGCGGCCAATGCCGCAGAGCCTAAAAAAATCAGGAGGCGGCGAACTGTGAAGCTGCCATCTCCGCAGCCCTCGTATGTTAATGACACCAATGATGTTAAAGTAGAATATGCAGATGTCCTCTCCAAACTGGCCTTTTTGAACAGACAACCACCCAGCACAGGCCGTTGCTCCCCTCCACGCTGCTGGACCCCAACTGAGCCTGAGACTTTTAACATACCACCAGAAAATCCATCCCTTTCTACTCTTTTGCACCGCCTCACAGGCTTCCGCAGGAGAGGCGGCCGAGCGGGCTGCATGGGGAGTAGAGGAGGGGGAGCAGCGGGAGCATCCAGTTCCTTTAAAAGGTCATTCAGTGACTTTTTTGAAACAATTGGCAAAAAGAGGAAAGTCCCTGCATCTGAACCAGGAACCCCTCGAAAAAGAGGCAAGGGGGCTGCTGGGGGAATAAATAGAGCAGCTTTAGCTGACTCTGCACAAGGTGAGAAAGTTAGAAAACGCCGGCCACGGAAGAATGGGGCTTTAAAAAATGGTCCTGGTGTCCAGGAGCAAGACTGGCAAAATGAGAACAGTAGCTGGATAGGGAAAGGAGATATTCCTGAGAAAGCAGGTAGTTATCAGAGTCCATGTTCCCCTCGTGGAAGCTTTCAAAGCAGCGACGGTACTAAGGGTGGCATGTACCACAGCCCAGGTATGAGAGGAGTGGGCAGTGGAGAAGAGTCTCAGGGTCTGTTTGCAGGATATTTTCGCTCTCTACTTGACTCTGATGACTCCTCTGATCTACTAGACATCTCTATGTCCAGCCCTGCTGGACGACAGGAAAGTCGTAAGCTTACACCAGGATATGAGGGTGGCAGCCCGGGTGCTGCTCATCGTTGGTCTCCTGCCTTTCCGAAAAGAAGTCCTAAAGGAGCAGCTTGTCTTGGGGATGGGGCACAATTATCTTCACCCCAAACTCAAGGCAGCTCGACAACTAAATCCTCATATTCGTATAGTGTCTCACAGACTTCTCCCACCCCATCTTTCCCTAAATCCCCTGCACTCTTGCTTTCCCGTTCACCCAGCTCTCCACATCCATCAGGAGGTTTTCCTCAATATCCGCCAAATTATAGTGCAGGGGTTCCTCAAGGTGGAAGCATTTATCCCCTCCCTCAACAGCAGCAACAACAGCAAAGGCCAAGTGACTGTAGCTTTACATATGGCACAAAAACTCCCTCTGTTCCCTCTGCACAGTGTCAGATGAGCTATTCCAACTACCAGGGCTCTGCCAAGCGCAATTATAGCAGCTATCCAGGCCCACCCCATTCAACCACACAGCGAGGAGAATCTGGCCCAACATCGCCAGGTGGAAGTTATATGTCAATGTCAAAGTCTAGCCCTTATTCCTTATCCTCTTCTCCGCCTGAGGGTTGCAGACAATACACAGCTCAGTGGGGATACAGGCAAGGAGGAAACAACTGGGGTGGTGATGCATATGGTAGTCATCAGTTCCATGGTTACTCTGAATATGGAGTAGCTGGAACTGGATCAGAATCCAAAGACATTCTGGACATCTCAAACTACACACCCCAAAAAGCCAAACAGAGACCCTGCATTGACACACTCTCTGAATCCTCCTCAGACTCCTCGCACACTGGAGGAGGAGGAGGAGGAGCGAGCGTTGTGGGGGCAGCATTTCGCCCAAGGGATGTTCCAATGCCTGAGGGTCAGTCTAGTCTTTCAAGCCTGGAGAAGCTAATGCTGGACTGGAATGAGAATTCTGCAGGCCCTTCTTACAACTGGAGTCAGAATGTACTTTTCCAGGGAGGGGCAAAACCAGGTCGTGGGCGAAGAAAAAAGTCTGAGGCTCACAATGAGAAGGAATCATGCTCTCTTCCCCCAGGATCCCCTGCCAGCCCTCCTATGCAAGGAGCAGGGCCGAAACGCAGCTCTACAGGTGGCAGACAGCCCAGGGGGGCAAGAGGCAGGGGAGGATTCTCTCCATGCCAAAGAGATCGGCCACCTCCAAAAACCAAATCCCAAAAACCTTCAGCCCCATCAGGGTCAGGGCAGATGGGATCGGGAGCTGTTTACCAAGAAGCACTGGATTACTACAGTGGAGACAGCAGTAGCCTATCACCCCTCAGCCATGCTCCAGAGTCCTGTGAATACCCGTCTCCATATTCTGTCCACACTTCTACCCCCTCCTCAGATGAGAGATTTGCTCATGTCTACCCTCCAGACTCTGCCTCTGTGTCCCCCAGTTTGTCAATTCAGTCAGACGCCCTGAAGCAGTTTCCTAAATCTGGTCCTACAGCACAGACGTATGGGCATGCTGCCAGGACGTTTAGCCCAAACCTTTCCCCAACCCCTCGCCTCTTGCCGCAGTGTGGTTCTGCAATGAGTCCACATCGGGTCCCGAAAGACCAGTTCTCCCAGTATGACTCCCCCAGTTACAGTGGCTCTCCCTGCTGGTATGGGCAAGGAGGAAGTGTCGCTGGCAGCCCCCAAAACTATGAGGAACAGCGAACACCAGCAGTCTCTTTGCCCTCACAAAAGCGGGACATGTCATTGATGGTCTCTGGGATGAGAATTGCATCACATACATCGTATCCTTCCCCTTTACAAAGAGGTCCTTCCATGTCAACTTCTTGTGTGAGTGGGACTCTGGACTCTTCCCCTCAGCATGAAGAGATGGGTTACCATGGTAACTTGGAGAGCTATGCACCCGTTGGACAACGTTATGCACCCCAAACAGCCCGGGGAGGGGTACTCTGCCAGCTTCTTGACCAGCCCAGCGATGAAGGCTTCACCGTCACCAGCCTGTAGTAGAAATGATCTTGGCACCCCTAAAGAGGTAAGACACTAACTCTGGGACATCGCTCAGACTATAACTGTATAAGATTCTTTAAGAAAATACTTGACACCGTGTCCTAACTACATGAGACGTGCCATGATTGCAGTGACAAGTAATTTGTCTGTCTGCACAAAACCCGACATGACAGAAAAAATTACCAGATATTATCCATTCAGAAGCACAAAATAGTCCCCCCCAGTTATATATTCTAGGTATTCTCTATTCTTCAAGGTATATATTCTAATAAATACATTTTAAAATTCTTTAATATTATTAAAATCACATGCTGAGTGACTAATATTTGTTGTCACCGTGAGTAATAATATTTGTTGAGTCACAATTCTAACAAATATTTTCAAATAATATGTTTGCTATTTTATTTTCAAGATGAGGAGGTAAACTATTTGATTCCGTATTTTTAAATGGCAATAAATGTCATGTATAGTGGTATTCAAACTCACGTTAGCAGCATTGAATAAAGTACCACGAGTATGTTTACATGGACACCAATAATCCGATTTATTAAACCATTTCAATGTGGTGATTTCATTGGCCCGTGAACATATCCTGCTTGTTTCATATCTGTAACAAGAGGCAATTCAATCACAACTTGATGTTATAACAGCTATCATGACATTGTTTATCAATATGTGGAACTTTTTGGACTATTAGAGGCTATGGAAATTTAAAATGTAAATCAGGAAATACATCAGGACCATTGTTATTGTTTACATATTGTTTACATACAATGGTCTATATGATTAAGACACTACTCAGATTAATGTAAACTGAGATTTTTGATGCATTTAATCTTATTAAATGATCAAACTAAACAGAAATCAAATTAAGACATGTGTAATATAGTGATTTTACTGGCACTATTGAAGTGCAGTACAGACATGTAAAAACCGCAATCAAACTGTTATTGTCGTGTAGGAATTTTGCTGCAATTTGCGACAACATAGTCTATACACACACGGCTGTTTGACTCTATTCTCTACACCAACCGAGTCAGTGAAGGACCACAGACACCTGCATCACTAAACGCAGAGGGTTTTTTCCCCCATTTTCCCCCTCTTCCAGCAATTCATATTCACATCTAAAATCTCGTTTGTCATAATGAAAGTGAAAGTGGGCGAGGCAGTGGCGCAGTAGGTAGTGCTGTCGCCTCACAGCAAGAAGGTCGCTAGGTCACTGGTTCGAACCTCGGCTCAGTTGGCATTTCTGTGTGGAGTTTGTATGTTCTCCCTGCCTTCGCGTGGGTTCCCTCCAGGTGCTCCGGTTTCCCCCACAGTCCAAAGACATGTGGTACAGGTGAATTGGGTAGGCTAAATTGTCCGTAGTGTATGAAAAGTGTCCGCTGCGTAAAAACCTGCTGGATAAGTTGGCGGTTCATTCAACTGTGACGACTCCGGATTAATAAAGGGAGTAAGACGACAAGAAAATGAATGAAAGTGAATGAAAGTGCCAAACTGCAGTTAAAGTCGACAAATTAAAAATGAAACACCCGAAATTACACAAAACTCCGAAGGAAATGCGGATAGCGTGGTGACATTAATCGAATTATGTGCTATAACATGTAAAACGGGATCATGAAAGGAACATTCAAAAAGCAGCTCATGTAAACACCTTCATTTTATTCTCTTATTCAGATTAAGACCAATAATTCGATTACTGATGTCCATGTAAACAAAGTCAGTGTCATAGTAGTACTGTTGTTTAGCCAAGACGAAAGGACAAAACTCCTTTTAACATAAAAAAGTGGCAGCATCAAATCATGTAGTTAGGGCATGGTGTGATGAAACCACAGTCTATATTGTGGTATAAAGTAGAGTTGAAGTCAGAATTATTAAACCCCCTGAATTATTAGCCACCCTGTTTATATTTTCCCCCAATTTCTGTTTAACGGAGAGCAGATTTTTCCAACACATTTCTAAACAGAATAGTTTTAATAACTCATTTCTAATAGCTGATTTATTTAATCTTTGCCATGATGACAGTAAATAATATCTGACTAGATATTTTTCAAGACATTTAAAGGCTTAACTAATAATAATAATAATAATAATAATAATAATAATAATAATAATAATAATAATAATAATAATAATACATTTTATTTAAAGGCGCCTTTCTGGCAACTCAAGGACACCGTACAAAAAAAACAAGAACAATAAAACAACAAGGGAAATGATAAAAAGTATACACAGCAAAAGTGCAGATAAAATTAGTTAATTAAGTATTAAAAGCCATCTTAAATAAGTGGGTTTTGAGTCTTGATTTGAAGTGTGAGAAGGTCAATGTTTCTGATGGCAGGTGGTAGTGAGTTCAAAAGCCGGGGAGCAAATTGGCTGAATGCTCTATTGCCCATAGACGATAGACGAGCAGAGGGAACAGAAGTGGAGGGAGGAAGAAGATCGCAGGGTGTGGGAAGGAAGAGAAATGTGGATGAGGGCAGACAAATATGGAGGGGCTAGATTGTGGATGGATTTCCTGAGATGGGTTGCGGCTGGAAGGGCATGCGCTGCGTAAAAACTTGCTGGTTAAGTTGGCAGTTCATTCCGCTATGGCGACCCCGGATTAATAAAGGGAGTAAGCCGACAAGAAAATGAATGAATGAATGAATGAATGAGATTTTGGATGGCTTTGAATGTTACTTTAAAATTTTAAAATCAATTCGAAAATGAACTGGTAATCAATGAAGCTGCATCACAGGGGTGATGTGACCAACTGAAGTTTACGGAGGGACTTATGAGTGAGACCAAAAAGAAGGAAGTTGCAGTAATCTAAACAAGATGTGACAAGGCTATGGACAAGAACAGCAGTGGCATGAGGGGTAAGAGAAGGCCGGAGACGGTTATTGTGGCGTAGGTGGAAGTAGGTGGAACTAGGTTAATTAGGTTAACTAAGCAGGTTAGGATAATTAGGCAAGTTATTGTATAACGAGGGTTTGTTTTGTAGACAATGGAAAAAAATATAGCTTAAAGGGGCTGATAATTCTGACCTTAAAATGTTTTTTAAAAAATTTAAAACTGCTTTTATTCTAGCCGAAATAAAATAAATAAGACTTTCTCCAGAAGAAAAAATATTATCAGACACACTGTGAAAATTTCCTTGATCTGTTAAACATCATTTAGGAAAAATTTAAAAAAGAAAAAAAATTCTATGGGGGGCTGATAATTCTGACTTTAACTGTATATATATGATTATCCCACCCTCATTTGTTCTTTTTTCTTTCCTTGACAGATGAAATGGACAGTACCCTTTTCATATTTTTAATCTTTTTTAAAGGACAAGCTTTGGAAGACGCAGTTAGACTGAAGAGTTTCAGAGCTACGGACTAAATAAAGACTTCTCCAGCAGTGACAATCAAGATCCAAATTCATACACATGGACAGACGCACACAGAAACAAATGCACGAACACACACTCTGTCCTATCGAAACGTTCACTTACTTGCATATACTTTTTCATACGCTGACTTGCAACTGCAAATGCACGCACAAAAAGACAGTCTTGCAAACTAATATTGCTATACAGCTTGGGCTATAGGGACGTATTAAACAAAGATGGGACACTGCTTGTTTCACAATGAAAACATTTTGAGGAAATGCAGGATGTCCCCTTGATTTAGAGATTCACACATGTTTCAGTGATACCCAATAACCAAACCAATTGGAAAGACCACGCTGAGGTTTTTGTCCTGCTTCCTCTTTCTCTGTCTGTTTCTAATCTCAACGCCTCCTCTAATTCAGTCAATTGGGGATTCTTAATCCTAAAAGGTCCATTTGCTTCAGCGTCTATTAATGGTGACTGCACAAACTCTGCCCTCTTTTCTCTTTTAAGTTTTTATACCGCATTTGTACATAAGCTACTCAATTTGTTCCATCACTTGAGAAGCTCACTGCTATGAAAACAACCGAATCTCAGAGTCCTGCTGAAAGAGACATACTGTATGTTAAAACAGCAACGTCAAGACAGCGTTTTCTTTTTAATTTGAGGATCTGCTCTAAAGACAAATGAGGGAATTACCAGTTTTATGTGGCTTTAAATTGTTGAGCTTGGGTTTGTGCGAGTACAGTTTAAGTAATCTTTTTTATCAGTGGTCTGGTCCCACGGGAATGTGTCTAAATTCGATCCCTACAACCGTCGCTCTGGATCCGCAGCATGGTCACTTTGTGCCCAACATCCAGCTCTCATTTGTGTGTTTTTTATCATCACAGGAGGACAGACAGACACCCCCCCGAAAATATGCTGTCTTCGTCAAGTTGTGTAGAGGCCAGGGCACTTTCCACCCTGGATATGAGGATGGCCTGGAACTCAGGGTGTGGACAGTGCATATTCTCCTCCTCTTTTTTCTTTCATCCCTATGTTCGTATTTCTTGTGGTCCGCTGTGTCGTACAGTGATTTTTTGTGATGAAATATTGTACCTGTCTGTTCCATATACTGTATCTGAGGTGAAAATATTTAAATACACATTCTGTTCTGATCATTGTTTAATTTTGTTCTGCCTCTACTCTGTTGCTGGGGAAGACAATCACAATTAAATTACATGGCCAAGAAGGAAAGTAATTAATAAAAATGTAATAAATATTAGCCTGAAATCATAATCACCACCACATAGAAATATTATACATGCAATATACAATGCTCAGCATATATAAATACACCCCTCACAAATCTATCTTTAAATTCATAATTTTAAGCTTTACAATATTATATTTGTGCATATACATACTAGTTTTTAGACCGTTATAGTGAATTATTTTGTCAGATAAGCTCCAGATTTGGCTTCAGTACTGACTAATCTACAGTATATGCACATATATAATATTGTATAGCTTACAATTAAAAATATGAATTTAGAAGATAGATTAGTGAGTGGTGTACTTATATATGCTGAGCGCTGTAGCTATATTAGGGATGCTTCTATCAGGAGTTTTGCAGCCGATACGAGTACCGATTTCTTGTCATGGTGATCGGCTGATACAGAGTACCGATTCTAATGCTTTAAGCTTTATAATGCATAAAGCACATTTTCCCCCTTAGAATGATATACATATATATATATATATATATATATATATGGAAAATGTATATATATATATATATATATATATATATATATATATATATATATATATATGGAATATGTTGCATATATGACATTTTATATATGTGGAATCCAAATATGAATGTGTTTCTCATACAGTGCTCAGCATTTAAGAGGACGCTATACAATATTTTTCCAGAGATGGGTTGCGGCTGGAAGGGCATCCGCTGCGTAAAACACATTCTGGATAAGTTGGTGGTTCATTCCGCTGTGGCGACCCCGTATTAATAAAGAGACTAACCCGAAAAGAAAATGAATGAATAAATGAATGAGCTATACAATATTATATTTGCGCATATACTGTACATTAGATTAGTCAGTACTGAAAGCAAATCTGAAGCTTATCTAACAAAATAACTCCAGGATAACGGTCCAAAAACGAGTACACCTAAATTTATGTTATATAAAAATAATAAATACAGGGAAAAATCAAGAGAAGCAAAAAAAAAAATTTGAAAACGTTTGTTGAAATTTTGTAGGTAATTTCTTATAGCAATATTGTCTTGAATTTAATTGTATTCTCCTTCAATTTCTAAATATGTTTGGTGACTAAAATATTATTTTAATAAATATTTGTTTAATAAATCATTTTTGTTTAAATGCATCAAAATACATTGCCTATATTCACTGAGAAATGGATAAAAATATTTATTTTCAAAATGGGGTGTACTCGGTTTTGCTGAGCACTGTATATGTAATTTGCATACATATCTATGTATCATTTCCCTATATGGCCCTTCACTAAAATACCAGCTCTTATGCAGAAATCTGTAAGTTTGAAATTCCCCCCCCCCCCAAAAAAAAGTCTTTAAATTATTTAATCTCATTATGATATATGAGTGAGTGTGCAGCATAATAGAGATCAAACCGAATGGATCATTGTAATTTTATACGGGACAAAGACTTCTTCCAGTAATGTTATCGATATTTTTTTCCCTCTTGAACGAGCCTGTTTTGCAATTCGGATGAGTTCAGATGAGGACACGAGCGGCGATTTGAGAGAGATGCAGAAGAGGCTGTATGGGAATTATGAAATTTATGGTAGCGACGTGATCGGAGTTGTGAAGTGAGAATGGTGCTTTCGTGTTTTATTTGCTCAGCTCTCCTTTTTGATTTTCTGTATTCCTTTAGTATTTCCATTGATCAGTGTGTATGTGTGTGGAATTGGAGTGTGCAGAGGGTAAGGGAGGGAGGGAGGTCTGATACATTAACTTTAATTTCTCATCCTTGTGCTGCCCCTCTGTGTTGAGAATGTGAAAATATTGGACAATTACATCAGAGTTATATGCAACAGATCAACCCAAGGGACGTATCTAAAGACAAATGTTTGGCTTTTTGTCAAATATTATATTTTGTATGGCCTACACGGATGCTGAAAAAGAAAAAAAAGAGAAGAAATTCTGTGTTTAAGAAAATATTGTGTTGCAACTGTCTGGAAATCGCTTATATGTTTCATTAGATATGCACATGATGCAAACATGTTCTTTGCAGCACCTGACTATATCGAGTTGTTATATGTTATTTCATTGTCACTTTGTATTTATATTAATACAAAAAAGCTCAAACAAAAACTTTATGCTGCTTTTGTCACTCTACAGTGCCACCAATGTTGCCATTAAACACTGCCAGTTTTAGATTTAAACTAAAACGCAATTAATATGCATCTGCTGTTTAAACCCGTGCTTAAAGAGCCCCTATTATGCATTATGAAAGGTCTTATTTTGGTATATTATATATATTATTTGGTACATATATTTGGGATTCTCCAAAAAACACTTTCATTGTCCTATAAAATGCATTTATTTTGCTTAATTATCCCAATGACTCTCATTTGATTCGTTCAGCGATTCATTTGTTCCCAAACCCCTGCGTTGCATGAGGCTAATCTGCGCAGATTGGTCCGATGACCGAGTCTATTGCGATTGGTCGACTGCATTCGGCGTGAGACGGAGAGAAACGCCTAGGGGTGCGTGTCCCAAACAACAAAGTAACTCAAGGCTGAACTATCATAGTACGATGCATCATTTGGGAAAAGAACGATGTAGTGATGAGTGTTTCCCAAAACCTGAAGTTTATCTGTCACGGATCCGTCGTTTGAACCATGTTAGTTATAAATAGTTAAAATATATATTTATAAACAAATGAAATTGAATATTTATTATTAATAGGAAGTGAAAAAAATCCTATTTCAATAATAACATTGATGATATTAATGATGATTATGACAACAATGATTTTTATTTATTATTATTATTATTACGAAGTAGGATATTTATTTAGTTATTTTTTATTTTTTGGAAAGTCTACAATTTGACACAATTTGTTCTAACCAACAGGCCCATGTCATATACACTACAGATACTTAATAAATAACCACACTATTAATTAAAAGCATTAACGTATGCTATGTTTTTTGGAGACGTAACATAAATTCTGCTTTTAAATAATCACAGATTATTTAGGTCACAGATAGCTTTCGTCATGAGCCACTGCTGTGTTAAAAATGACAATGTTTTCAAAGTGCACTGCGCTTATAATTTAAAAAATAATAATTATAAACAAGTAATTTTTTTATATTTCTTTATTTTAAATCTTTAGGAATTGTTTTAGTACATTACAATTGTGATTATGATGACCACTCAACAAGCTAATCCAGAAAAAAATTGTGCTTAAAATGTCACTAAAATGCAGCATCAAGGAAAAATCCAGCGAATGTCTGCAGAAAGGTCCACTTTTTGAAAAATAAATAAATAAGCATCCCTTTCAGCAGGCTGGCCACGGGCCTGGCCTACTATTGTTTTAATCTGCAAGTTTAATTTATTTCTATTACTTTTCACTCATTACATTGTTTTCTTACAGAAATAATGCTAACAGACTCTTAAACATAAGCCCCTGATGCTCATCCACTAGTCAACTGTCAGTAAATGGAGTAATTGTTCATTAATACGTCACATAATAAAAAAAGCAAAAGCAGTAAGGGATTTTTGTTTTAAACGAGAAAGCCATGTACAGCACAACCCTGCCTAGCAGGTCAATTTTAACGATTTGTTTGTGTTTCTCTTGTACAGCAACACACACTCTCTCTCTCCCCCAAATGGACCTTTTGTTTGTAAAGTGAATCTGTGCAGACCACACTCCCACCAGTAGGTCTGTTTTCCACAAATAACACGCATGATTTGTTGTCCGCATCCCTTCCAGGCTTAGAGTGTTAATTGTTAGTCAGACAATACGATAAATTCTCTTAATTGCATGAATTCTGTTGTTTAGAAATTACAATAAAGACGTTCTGCATCTTAATTTAAATTATTAATTCTCGACCAGTGTCCAGCACATCTTTCAGGATCTCAGCGGATGCACTATGCTGTTTTAAGGGTGTAACTCAGCTAACTGCATTATGAATAAATATTTTGGACATCCTAATCACGCTGCTTTTGCACACTACATACACAGTAGTAAAATGTGTTCGCGCGCGGGGGTGGTGTGTTTGTGTGAACGCGCCTGTTTGAATTTATATGACTGCGCGCGCGCATGACATGCACGTGCGTTCCATTGAATAATATGATATTTAATGCTGGTTTTTCCCATAAATCTCACAACCCATTATGATTTTTAATGTGTATTTTTTGGTTTTAATTTAAATATTGTTGCTATCTGTGAGGAACATTGTCAAGCACTGACTCACGTTAGTAGTGTTGACAGTGTCCAGCCGTGAAGCCCTGAAGCCAAAGTCACTGTGGCGCCGACTCTTCATTTTGTTTTCTGTGCGTCTGCCACAGGTCACTTTACAGCTCGAGAGGGCTGGAGTATGGCTGCTTGTAACTTTAACAAACTAAAAGGCATTTGTCAGCGTATATTTATAATCGGTTTGCCGGTTTTGCTCCTCGTCCAGCTTCTAGTCAGTTTAACAGTAACGCGCAGCAGCACGAGCGGGGACGAGCCTGCTTTTCTCGTCATAAGCATAGAGAAAAAAAATGAGGGGTCACTGTCTGACCTGAGAAAACAGAAGAGGGGTTTGGACAGCGGTGTGTTGGGTTTGTGGACTGCAGAGGATTCAAGACTGACGGGATACGAGGACGAAAACGAGCTTGAAGGACAGGTAATCTTATATTCACTTGTGGTGACCAGTTTTAGAAAGATTTCCCCTGAAGCCTGTTTCTGTCTGGAACAAAAGTGCACTGTAAAAAGCGATTAGTTACTTTACTTAACCCTTGTGTGCTGTTCAAATTTGATCAACTAGAGAAAAAAAACAGCAACAAAGAATACCTTGCAAAAAAAGTCATTATTATGGAAGTCAATGGGGTAAAAACAGCCACTAACATAATGAAAGGGTAGTCAGTTTTCCCAAAGTGTATTGTTTTGTATTGTATACTTAATTTCAAAGCATTTTCCCAAAAAATGTGTCACAATTTGCTGAAACACAGAGAATTACCAAATTAAGACTCAAAATCACCCCAAAGTGGATGAACACATCCCTAACAGCACACATGGGTAAACCTGTTGTGGATGTTAAGTTGACTTAAGTTTATATATTTATTAAGTTTGTTTATTTGATCATATTAAAGGGATAGTTCACCCAAAACTGAAAATCCTTACATATCCTTAACTTGTTTTTATACCTTTATGAGTTTCTTCTTGTTGAACAAAAAAGAAGATTTTGAAGAATGCTGGAAACGTGTAACCATTGACTCCCATAGTATTTGTTTTTCCTACTATGGAAGTCAGTGGTTAAGTTTTCAACTTTATTAAAAATATCTTGATTTGAGTTTAGATTTATAAAGAAACTCATTAAGGTTTAGGGTAAGTAAACAGCAATTAAATCTCTTTAGGTCAACTAATCATTTTTTTACAGTATACCACAACTTTTATATAACATCTCAGGCTTTCCCCCACCAAAATGTTGAGTTTGTATCCCTCAAAATATTTCATTATTAGAAATGAAAATAAAAAATATATAATCTATAGTTCTGAGGGGACAAAATAACTGCAATAGTTCTGTGTATTTTATCAGCAGTGAGAGTTTTATCTAAAAGAATTCGATTTTTTTCAGAGCACAAAGGTGTAACTCTGAATGTCAGAATTATGACGTATATATCTCACAATTTGACTTTTTCAAAATTGACTTAATTGCTCGTAAAGATGCAAAGAGATCAAAAAAAAAGAAAAAAAGGCAAAACACACAATTAAACACACAAGCTTCCCGATTTGGAAAATAAATCTCAAAGCAACTCAAAACAAACAACACATTTGATCAACAGTAAAAAAAAAAATGTTACATTTACACTTACACTCCCTTTTCCGGTTTTATAACTTTATGTGTTTCTTTTAGTAACCATTGACTAGTTACCATTGAGCTCAATTGTATTTGTTTTTCCAACTAAGTCAGTTGTTCTCAGTTTTCTTTTAAAAATATCTTGTTTTGAGTTCTACTTAAAAGAAACTCATAAAGGTTTGAAACCATTCAAGGGTGAGTAAACAGTGAGTAAATAAAAATTTACATAATTATTTGAATAATAGTCAACTAATCACTATTTTAAAGTATACCGCAACTTTTTATATCACAATTTAGGCTTGCCCCTCCAAAATCAATCAATTTTTTTTTCTCTCTTCACAATTCAGAGAAAAAGTTAACATTGTAAGGGATAAAATAACTGCAGGATAACTGCAATAATTCTGTGTATTTTCAGAACTCTATTTTCTCAACTGAAAATATTATTACAATTTCAAGATTAAAAAAAGATTAAATTATAGTGGATTAAAGATTAAAATTATTTTCAGAAATGACAAGATGCAAACGTGCAATTTTCACAATTTCTACTTTTATTTTAGGACTGACTTTATTTCTCATAAAGGTGCAAGGTGAGCAAAAAAGCCAGAATTGCAAACTCTCAGTAAGAATGAAGTCAATCAAAAATGCTTGGTAACAATTCACAATTAAACAGTTATTTTCCAGATATGCAACTCAATAGAAACAAAATTGGCCTTCCTTATAACTGAGCTTCATTGTAATATAAATAAGGGTTGTATACATTTGTTGCAGCCTTGTTAAAACATGTGTTTGAATTGTAAACATAAACTTGAATCCCTCCATGACACATTAGCATAAAAAACTGTCTCTTAGGTATAATTCACTATAAGCTATTTTTAATATCTTATCTTCCTAATATGCAACTCAAAAGAAACAATATTATCCTTCTATATAAAAAAGAGCTTCATTGTAATATAAATAATTGTCAGTTTAAACATTTGTTGCAGCTTTAATTTTAGTTTTATATGGAGGGACTGCAAAACATATGTAAAAAGTGACTTGGCAAAATAATCGGGGATCCCTCCATGACACATTAGCATGGAAAATATTAGTTACCTATTTTTTATCTGATATATTTCTGATATGCAATTCAAAAGAAACAAAACATGTCTTCCTTATGAGCTTCTTTGTAATATGAATAAAGGTTGTATACATTTGCTGCAGCCTTTTTTAATCTGAAGGGACTGAAAAACATATGTGTTTGACATGTAAACATAAACTTGAATCCCTCCATAACATATTAGCTTAGAAAACTGTTAGGTATAAGTAGGGCCAGACAAAATCTGCGGACATTTTTTGCTATTTCTAATGAGAATTTTGTACTGAGTATTTATGCGGAATAATTCTGGGAGTATTGTAACTAAAAACTTAATATATGAAATAAAAAATAATAGTTTTTAAACTTTTATTTCATGTTTACTATGCAAATCTATCTAGATCCACTTATTTGCTAAACAAAGTAAGTCTCTCATACAATATATCAACTAAAAGACAGAAAATGTTACTTTACAAACTGTATGGTAAATAAATCAAATGAACACAATCATATTAGGCCATATTATTACTGAAATTAATTTAAAAACTAAAAAAATATAAATTTACACACATTTACTCAGGTAAATAAATAGAGTCAATGATGGGCTTAAAATCTGGGGAAATCAGTGGATTTCTGCGTGCACGGATTCCATGTGGGCCTAGGTATAAGTCACTATTAGCTATTTTTAATCTCTTATCTTCCTGATATGCAACTCAAAAGAAACAACATTATCCTTATGTATAAAAATGAGCTTCATTGTAACATGAATAATCGTCAGTGTATGCATTTGGTGCAGCTTTAATTTTAGCTTTATATAGAGCGACTGCAAAACATATGTAAAAAGTGACTTGGCAAAATAATCGGGGATCCCTCCATGACACATTAGCATTGAAAATGTGCAAAGTGGAGTCTCTCACTCTGTTTGTCAGTGAGTCTGACTGTCCGCCTCTGCCTCCCCCACAGCAGTTCCTCAGTGACTCATTCCTCCAGTCTAGAGTCTCCACGCTTACTAAACATGCTTTTCTATGTTTTGGGTGAGGCTCCATCTCCAATAGCCTAGGTTAAAAAAAAGAGAAAAAAAGTTGTGTTTCTTTTGTTCTCAGACTTATAACCTCTGGTTTCAAAAGGGCACATTCTGTGACCCTGAACAAGCTGCAGCTTCTCCTGCCTGAAGCGCTGCACACGCTCACAGTTTACTTTTTTCAGTGGCTATCAAATGCCTGACCCTCCTCCACTGCATCCCTGTTTTTAGATTTTTTTTTCTTTTAATGTGCACTTGAAATTTGGCCAAGATGAGAGAGAGAGAGAGCTGTGTGTTTATGTGTTTACAGGCCACAGCTAGAGAGCTGATATTGCAGCCATGGGCTTCAGAACAGCCATCGCTTTTTGCAGAGTTGCAACGTCTCACCCGGTTCATCACCACTATAGAGGTACACAGTCATCCTGGCTTTGTCTGATCATTGCATGGCATACATAATTGCATTGTTTAAAAATGGGCTGTAACTTCCTGAGATATCTAAACCCACATAGAAATCTCATATATGGCGATACATGCAAATTACATACAGTACATGACATACAATTCAATTCAATTCAGCTTTATTTGTATAGCGCTTTTACAATGTCGATTGTGTAAAAATACAAGTTCATAGTTCATATTTGGATTTCACATATATAAAATATATCCCATATGTATCAACTTAATAAATTTGTAAATATTGCAAAAATGGCTGTTTTCATATTTTTTATTTAATCATTTATAATTTAAAATATCTGTTTAAATATATTAGCTATAAATGTATGTATGAATACATGTATTTATGTGTGTGTGAACATACATATTTGTAATTCAAGTTGTTGAAAAAGATATACATATTCAAGCAGTTTTGCAATACTTTGAAATACTTGTTGCATATATGTTATATTTGTAAAATATGAACTTGCTTGTCATGCATCTAATTTGCATGTATCAGATTGCAATATGTGTAAATTTTAAGAAAGACTGTTATTCCACAGGTGAACTGCTCTGTGGTGCAGGGTTCAGATTGGAGTCAATTGTCACTGTCTTCTGGATACTCTGATGTTTTCTGCATTAACCACTGGAGGGGTAAAAAGGGTTGTGTTGCATACTCATTCAGGTAAATATACAGTTGAAGTCAGAATTATTAGCCCCCCTTTGAATTTTTTTTTCTTTTAAAAACATTTCCCAAATTTTGTTTAACAGGGCAAAGAAATGTTCACATTATGTCTGACGATATTTTTTTTCTGGATAAAGTCTTATTTGTTTTATTTTGGCTAGAATAAGATAAAGTTACGGTACGTAGACATTTCCCAAAATACTTATTTAAATAAAGCTTTTGCTACAAAAATGCAAGATATACCTGTATAGTTAAATAGCAGAATTTCTGTAGAAAATTACATTACCAATGATGCTGCACAGAATAGGTCCACCAATCAGAGAGCTGAAGGAGCAAAGCATTGCAAGTCTGTCCCCCTAACTTCTTAAAGCATAAATATGTGCAGAGATGCAATCAGAAACTTACTTTTGACTTTTGTATTTGTACGGTTGTGATTCTCCTCAAAGCTGTTTGGTTAATTATTTATAATATTTGTATTATTTTATATATATATATATATATATATATATATATATATATATATATATATATATATATTATTATTATTATTATTATTATTATTTATTTTATTTTTTTTTTTTTAAGACTTTTATTTTTTATTGTGATGATATGCATATGGGTGGCATGGTGGCTCGGTGGTTAGCACTGTTGCCTCACGGCAAGAAGGTCGCTGGTTCGAGTCCCGACTGGGCCAGTTGGCATTTCTATGTGGAGTTTGCATGTTCACCCCGTGTTGACGTGGGTTTCCTCCAGGTGCTCTGGTTTCAGTCCAAAGACATGCGCTATATGTGTATTAGGTAAACAATTGAGTGTAGTGTATAAGTGTGAATGTGAGAGTGTATGGGTGTTTCCCAGTACTGGGTTGCGACTAGAAGGGCATCCTCTGCATGAAACATATGCCAGCATAGTTGGCAGTTCATTCCGCTGTGGCAACCCCTGAAAAATAAAGGACTAAGCCGAAGGAAAATGAATGAATGTAATATGCACAAGATATGACCATATGTATATATTCAAGCTGCCTGCCAACATTCAACATTCGTAAATATCCTGTGTGTCTGTGTAAAGGAGTAAGCAAACAAAATGGATAGAAGAAAAAAATATGAAATAAATAAAAAGAGACAAGGAGAAAACAGTAACAGCTGGAACAGTTGCAGCTGAAAGGGCATCCGCTGCTTAAAACATATGCTGGATAAGTTGGCGGTTCATTCCACTGTGGCGACCCCAGAATAATAAAGGGACTAAGCTGAAAAGAAAATGAATGAATGAATGTTTTACACAGCGGAAACCCTTCCAGCTGCAACCCATCACTGGGAAACACCCATACACTCTCATTCACACACACATACACTACAGACAATTTAGCTTACCCAATTCACCTATAGCGCACATGTTTGGACACACCAACACGGGGAGGACACAAACCAGCAATCTTCTTGCTGTAAAGCAATCATGCTACCCACTGCGCCACCGTGACACCCTATTCATACATATTTCAACCAATAAAGGATTTAGCACAGCTTGTTTAAAATATTAGGATGTCAATTTTTACAATGATTTAGAAAACAGGGTGAACTTTTCTTTTATGCTGACTTTAAAACGATATCTAGGAGTGCTAATATTTATGTAAACATTTAAGACCAGATATGTTTTTTTTCAAGAAATGATGACCATTTAAGGCTACTTAGTTATGCTGGAAGGGTGGGATTTGTTATATGTCTATAAAAAAAAAAAACAGCGCTGAAGCTTGCCCTAGATTCTGTAGCTTTCAACATGTCATGACTGATGCAGAGAAGCAGTAATGGCTTGGATAATTCATTGAGATGTTTCAGACTGTTCTGAATAAGCAGATCTTTTTTTTCTCTCGCTGTGTCTTTATAGCCTGGATGGGAAGGATGCGGCGTTTTTAGACACAATGCTGCATGCGGAGTGTGAGGTTCATCGTTTTGACCCCAGCCGCCGAGTGGGTCGAGAACCTGCATCTATTAAGCATCACCGAGTTTGGTTAGACTGGAGAAACCCACGAGGTCACTCACATACAGGCCTCATGGGGAACATACAGCGCAGACTACTCGACATTATGGACTCCTTGGGCCACATCACGGTATTTACACTCAAATACACTCATTCAGACTTCAGAGCAGCTCCACAGTCCACACCCTGGACAACAACAATTTTTGTGATTTGATTTATTACTGTCTCATTTACAGTCTTGATTAAAGTCTTGCTGTTATAGCGATTTTTAACGATCACGCATCTTACATCATTTCATGCAGGCAAAAATGGGTAAAATATTATTAAAGAATGCAAATAGTTAGCAGCACCAAGGATGAAACTCGAGAGATGAAACTGGGCACTATTGAAAATGTCAAGTTCACTATCCGAGTGCGATGCACCGAAAATGACAAATCACAGACGGAAATTTCAGATCAGTTCCATTCATTTCAAACCAATTCAATTATTCTTAATTTTAAATAAATTCAGATAAATTCATTTCAGGTCAGGATTACCAAAGTTCATTCGTACACTTAAAACCCAACTATGTGTGCAAAAGCTCTTTGTTTATTGTAATCTTGTATTGTGAACATTAATATATATTTATTATATATATGAGCAATATCACACGAGTAGCAGTGCGATATGGCTGTATATTGGCACTGGTGGGAGGCGTGCGTTGGCACGAGGCCGCAGCCCGAGTGCCTTAGTGCCCCTACCAGTGCCGATATACAGCCATATCGCACTGCTACGAGTGTGATATTGCGTTTATACAACAGTTTGACGGCATAATTGTGTATATAAAAACAAAATCAAACATGGAGAGTCTCAAAGACCCTTTTGTATGAGGAACTACTTTCTTCCAGATTCAAATCATAAGCTGACAGTTGAGCAAGCATCATTTAAACTTTAGATCTGTAGTGTCTGCTTTTTGCTGGCTGTATGTGGGCGGAGTAATACACAAAGGGTAAAGAGGCTGTAGGAGTTCTGATATTGCAGAATATCGCACGGCTATCAGCCAATCAGATTTGAGAACCAGACAGAACTGTTGTATAAATAAATAAATATATATATATATATATATATATATATATATATATATATATATATATATATATATATATATATGCAAACCATGAAGTACAGTGATCAGCATTGAGTACACCCCGTTTTTAAAATATTTGTATCTATTTCTCAGTGAATATCGGCAGTGTATTTTGGTGACTTTAAACAAAACATATTTATTAAAATTTTTGTCACCAAACATATTTAGAAATTGAGAGATAATACAATTAAACTCAAGCAAAATATTGCAGAAATAAATTACAAGCTACAAAATTTCAACTAATTTCTTTATTTTTATTTTTTTGCTTCTCTTGATTTTTTCCTGTTTTTTAAATTTGTATTTAATATTTTTCTATAACGCAAATTTGGTTGCACTAGTTTTTGGACTGTTATCGCAAGTTATTTTGTAAGATGAGCTCAAGATTTCAGTACTGACTAAACTAATGTATATGCACAAAAGTAATATTGTATAGCTTCCTATTAAAAATATTAATTAAAAAGAGAGATTTGTGAGGGGTGTACTTATAAACAGTTGAAGTCATTACTCCAGTCTTCAGAGTCACATGATCCTTCAGAAATCACTCTAATATAAATTATTATTATTAAAATTATTAATATTATTATGTTTATGTTCACATCAACTACAGTTTAGAATATGATATCGTAGTGGACCACCCCTTAAATAAATAAGTATTTAACAATTTTACAATTTTTTTTTTACAATTAATAAATGCTGCCTTAATGAACAGAATAATTTTATTTAAATTATGAAATAAAATTTATAATTTAAAAAAATTGTTGACCCCAAACTTTTGACTGGTAGTGTGTATATATACAGTTCAAGTCAGAATTTTTATCCCCGTTTATTTTTTTCCCCCCAATTTCTGTTTAGGCAAGGCAAGTTTATTTATATAGCACATTTCATACACAGTGGCAATTCAAAGTGCTTTACATAAACAAGAATAAAAATTGACAAGTATAAGAAAATAAAAAACAAATAATAAAAGTGATTAAAAACAGATACAAACAGATTAAAATGTGTTAAGAAAGACATAATAGTGTGATCTGTCGAACGTAGCACAGTGCTCATTCAGTAAAGGCACAGCTAAGCAGATATATTTTCAGTTCGATTTGAATGTGCCGAATGTTGGAGCACATCTGATTATTTCTGGAAGCTGATTCCAGCAGTAAGGGCGCTGTTAGTGGCTGATTCACCCTGCTTTGACTGAACTCTTGAAACTCAGATCTGACTTCAGAGTCACACCAAGATTCTTGACCTTATTTTTTGTTATTTGACCCTTAGAGCAAAGGTACGCATTCACATTGAAAACCTCATCTCTGTTCCCAAACGCAAAGTTTAATGTTTTCTATTTAACAATTGTATATGCATTTAAAGTGAAAATGATTAGTCCTCCTGTGAAATTTCAATTCTTTAAAATATATTTGCCAAGTGCTCCCAAGCTTAACAGAGAGATTTTTTATAGTTCTATTAACTGATTCATTTTGTTTTTGCCATGATGACAGTTTATCATATTTGACTCGATATTTAGATTGATAGCAGTCATTTTAAAGTGCATTTTAAAGGCTTAACTAGGTTATTATGTTAACTAGGCAAGTTAGGGTAATTAGGCAAATATTAGATAACAGTGGTTTGCTCTGTAGACAATCAAAAATACATACACGTTTATAAAGGGGCTAATAATTCATTAATTTTCTTGTCGGCTTATTCCTTTTTTTATTAATCCGGGGTCGCCACAACGGAATGAACCGCCAACTAATCCAGCAAGTTTTCCCATCTCTGGGAAACATCCACACATACATTCACACACACAGTCATACTCTACGGACAATTTAGCCTACCCAATTCACCTGTACCGCATGACTTTGGACTGTGGGGGAAACCGGAGCACCCGGAGGAAACCCACACGAAGGCAGGGAGAACATGCAAACTCCACACAGAAACACCAACTGAGCCGAGGTTTGAACCAGTGACCCAGCAACCTTCTTGCTGTGAGGCAACAGCACTACCTACTGCGCCACTGCCTCGCCCAGGGGCTAATAATGTTGAACCTAAAATATTTTTCATTAAAAAAAAAAAAAGTTTAATCATAAAATAAGTCTTTGCCCAGAAGAAAAAAAAACATTCTAAGAACTATTGTGAACATTTCCTTGGTCTGTTAATTATCGTTTTGAAAATACTTTTAGGACTTTAAACTTTTAGGACTAATAAATTTGTCTTCATCTGTGTTTTTTAATTAATTCATTGATGTTTATTTTATAAATCTCAAAGCCTCAGAGATTCTCCTAAAAGTCAGTCCAGCGCTGAATCACAAGTGAATCACACTAAAGTTCTCCCTTTATGTGCTTAAGCCACATGAGCGTCATTGCAGCACTGACTCATAATACCATGAGTTGCACTTCAAAGCATTTTCTCATCCTATTCAATCACTGGTCACCAGATTTCATGCATTTAGTCAAAGTGCCACCGCTTTCTACTTTTTGTTTGGTGGTCCCAAAATGTCACATTGACTCAGTGTCTGTTTGTGTAGGTGGATGTCCTGTGTATGGATTTGGAGAGCGCTGAGTGGCGCATGTTGGAAAGCTGGATTAAAGACGGCACTCTGAACCGGATCAATCAGCTCATTCTGACCATTCATCTGCAGTGGGCGGGGTTTGAGGTGGGCGGGGCTGAGGAGGAGGTGGTGCGCTTCTGGTACAGTGTTTTGAGAGCAATTCGCATTTCAGGACTGAGACTCGTGTATTCGGCACACGGCCCAGGACACACAGTGCTGAGACACACACAGGCCGACTCACACAGTACATACACACTCAGCTGGATCAGGACAAGAGGACAGAGCAGATAGTCTGTAACTCAGAAGCAAATCTGTAAATACTGTATATGATGTGTGCATTATGGACCCTTTTCAGAAGACATGCATTTATTGGCATCTTAAATCCCTGAAAATATTTAGTTTTGAAAGAAAAACAAAAGTTGAAATTATTCACTCTCCTGTAAATCTTTGTCAAACGATGTTTAACAGAGCAAGGAATTTTTCACAGTATTTCCTATAATATTTTTCTTTTGTAGAAAGTCTTTATTTCGGCTAGAATAAAAGCAGTTTTTATTTTTTAAACCATTTTAAGGGCAATTTTTATTAGCCCCCTTAAGCAATATTTTTTTCCAATTGTCTACAGAACAAATCATTGTTATACAATGACTAGCCTAATTATCCTAACCTGCCTAATTACCGTAGTTAAGCCTTTTTTTTTATTATTTTATTTTTTCCGGGTTTTCACTTTTATTGGATGGACAGTAGAAAGTATTGACAGGAAAGTTTGGGGAGCAGAGAGAGAGAAGGGACCAGCATAGGACTTCGAGGTGGGAATCGAACTTGGGTCGCCGTGAGCAGCAGAGAACATGTGTTGACACACTTACCTCCACTTCAGGGATGCTGCTAGAGGTGGGGGGTGGCGGAGAGTTAAGACGATTCTAAGGGCCCACACTGTTCTGGGGCCCCGAGAGATACTATTAGAGGCCCAACAGACCGCCCTTCCCTTTCCTCCGTGACCTTCCCACCCATCCAACAAATCCTCCCCCACTACAGATTTGTTAAATGAGGTTGACATGGTACAGCTATTATTCATTTATTCAATCATTTTCTTTTCAGCTTACTCCCTTTATTGTATTTTATTTTATTTTTTTAAACATTTATTTTTGATTATTTTCTCAAGCTTTAACAAAACATTTTGTACAATCAAGATTGTACATTTTTCCCCCCATTTTTAAACATTGCCACCGAAATGAATTAGCAAACAAATAAAATTAAATTGCAATTACAACAGGAATAGATTAAAATATAGCAAAATGGAAAATATTAATAATAAATAAATAAATAAAATAATAATAATAATAATAATAATAATAATAATAAAATTTAATTAAATAAAAAATAAACTTTAAAAATAATTCAAACAAATAATTACCTACAGTACATGACAATACAAATCAATAATTTGATATATTTATAGTGGTCTTTTACATAAATATTAAACCAAACTATATTGGTGATCACAGTTAAACCTGTTTGCACAGATATTTTTATTTAAATCAGATAAATCAGATCATAGGTTGCCATGATCATAAAATGTTTGTACAGATCCCTTCATTAAATATTTAATTTTCTCAAATTTCAAATATAAAATCAGATCACACATCCACATTAAAGCTTTAGGTGAAGCTGCTGATTTCCACAAAAGTAGTATTCTTCTCCTTGCTAACAAAGTAGCGAAGGCGATAACATTTTTTTAGCTTAGTCCCTTTATTAATCTGGGAGTCGCCACAGATGAATGAACCGCCAACTTTTTCAGTAATGTTTTAGCCAGTGAATGCCCTTCCAGCTGCAACCCATCACTGGGAAAAGCTATAATTTATCAGAAAAATATAATTTACTCAAATTACACTTGATCCAAACATGTTTGAGTTTATTTATTTTGTATCTGTTGAACACAAAAGAATATATTTTGAATAATGTTATACCATAGTATTTACCCTTCTGGCCTGTTTCCAATACTATTTTATGTTCAACTTTAAAAAAACAAAAACTCGCATTTGACAAAACAAGCCATTTGCGAGTGAGAACATTTTCATTTTGGGGTGAACTGTCCTTATAAAATATACAAACAAATATTCAACATTTGAAAGAGGTAAAGGCATTGTTTCTGTTTAGAGCAGGGGTGCTCAATCCTGTTCCTGGAGATTTCAGTTGCTACCCATATCAAACACACCTGAACCAATTAATTAGGACCTGAACACCACTTGATAATTACAGGCAGGTGTTTTTAATATGGGTAGCAACTGAAATCTGCAGGAAGGTAGATCTCCAGGAACAGGATTGAGCACCCCTGGTTTAGAGGCTAAGAAATGCCGTCTAGTGGCTGTTAAATGTACTGCAATGGTTCAACTAAATCTGTCACGCTGTGATAATCATTTAACAGCCATATTAAATTAACTTTCGGTCATTTTTAATAAAATAGGGCATCGTGCTATATTTGACAAGTGCATTGTTTATTTGAAACAACTAATAGATGTGTATTAGATTTCTTTGTGTCTTTGTTTTTAAATTGTGCATTTGTAAATTGCAATTACAGGAAAAACAGGCATCAAAAACAAATAAATTTAATTCAAATAAAAAGAAAAAAAGGCAGACATTCACAAGACGCCAAATACAGATTCATAATCGCTTACAACAGAAAGTGGTTTTCAGTGACCTAATAAACATATCACAAGCTGGCTTTATGGCAAAACACCATATTAATTTAAATATTAGGTTGGTGTTAGAATTAATAGATTAGACTTTTTTTATACTTTTATTTCTTGGTTTTTATAAAGCTTTTGACACAACTGATCAGCGGTTTCTGTCACAGGGTTTACATATGTTTGGTTTTGGAAATATTATATAATATGTAATAAAATATATAATTGAGAAAAGTCTCAATGTGATTTAGTTTCTCCTGATAATTCAGATATGTTTCATAAAATGTGAATATGTTGATTATAATTCATGTAAAAACATGTCAGTACACATTTTCTATGTGTTTTTAAAGTGAATAAGCTTATTTACAGTTGTTAATTGAGAACAGTGAAAGTACCAGTAATATGACACTTGGTCTGAGTTTGTTATAACGGACTCCCCAGTAAATGATATGTTTTTTACTCAGTATGTGATAATTGAACAGAAGATGACTTATTATTTGTATATATTGGTTATATATTTGTTAATGTACAAAGTTTATGAGAGTAGAGAGTAACATTGGTAATTGGTGTCAGGTGTAACTGTTACAATTTAAATTATACAAATAATTATTATTCTGTTAGCAGATGCATGATTGTTCGGTGAGTTTAGTATTTTTATGGCAAATGGTTCTATATAGAGATGTTTACAGAAAGAAAAATGAGAAAGATGGTTGACAGAATTTAAAGTGTATTCTGTGTCCTACTGATAAATATACAGAAGGTATAATATTTGTGTTATGATGAGAGAGTACAGTGTATACGTATTTGAAGACCTCATTATTGTAAAAAGAGAGAAACAAAGAGAACAAAACTGTGTGTTTGAATAAATGAAACATGATTTGTGAGGATTTGTTTGCTATAATATGACTGTTAATAAATAGATGCTACTAAGCTGCACCTGGGGAAAGACACTGAAGTCTCAATGTGATTTTGTTTCTCCTGATAATTCAGGCACTTTTAATCTGCTGGAGTTCAGCGGCTGGGACCTGTAACATGATAACCAGTTTCTATTACAGGCTTTACATATGTTTGGTTTTGGAAATAAATATATTCATCCTTGTGTCTTTTTATTGTGAATATTTGTAAATTGCGATAACTGGGAAAAAGAGGCAATAAAAAAAGGTCCAAAGGTAATTTAAATTTTAATAAAAGTACAAAAACAAAATAATAAAAAAAGAAAGACATTTACATGACACCAAATACAGATTCATAATCACTTACAACAGACTAAAAAGTGGTTTTCAGTGACCTAATAAACTAATGTCAAACTGACTTGATAGCAAACACAATATTAGTTCAGGTTGGTATTAGACTTAATAGATAATAACTATCTTTATGCTTTTGTTTCTTGATTTATATAAGGCATTATAAGATTACAGGGTTTACATACATGTTTGGTTTTGGAAATAAGTTTATTCAGATTTCCTTGTGTGTTTTTTTTTATTTTTATTTTTTTATTGTGCATTTGTAAAATACAATTACAGAAAAACAGCCATCAAAAACAATAGATCCAAAGATAATTAAAATTCAAATAAATAAATAAATAGAACCACTAAAAAGTGGTTTCAGTGACCTAAAAAACTAATTTTATAAGGCTTTTGGCACAATTGATCACCAGTTTCTGTGTACAGGGTTTACATACTGTATATGTTTGGTTTTGGAAATAAGTTTATTCAGATTTCCTTGAGTCTTTTTTTATTATGCATTTGTAAATTACAAAAACAGGCATCAAAAACAAAAGATTAAAAAATAATTGATTTTTTTTTAATAAATATACAAATGGGTCCACTAAAAGGGGGTTTTCAGTGACCTAATAAATTAATCCCAATCTGGCTTTATGGCAAAACACCATTTTAGTTAAAATATTAGGTTGTTTTTAGACTTAGATTATAACCAAAGGCTCTCATTTTGTTTCTTGATTTTTATAAGGACTTTACTACAATTAATCAACAGTTTCCGCAACAAGGTTTTACATAAAGTATTTGTTTAAAATAAGTTTATTCAGATGTCCTTGTGTCTTTTTTAATAGTGCATTCGTACATTACAATTACAGGAAAAACAGGCATAATTAAAATTTAAATAAATAAATGAAACCACTAAAAAGTGGTTTAAGTGACAACCTAAACTCGTTTTATAGCAAACATCATATTAGTTCAAATATTAAGATGGCATTAAACGTATTACATTATAAGGCTCTCGTTTTGTTTTTTGATTTTTATAAGGCATTTAACACAACTGACCACCAGTTTCTGTTTCAGGGTTTACATGTGTTTGCTTGTGGTATGCAGATTTCCTCGTGTCCTGTTTGTTTTTCTGGGGGCGAGTGATGAAATCCCGACTGCCTTTGATTCACACAAAAAATCACGTGCATACCTATGGAACAAAATCAATGCCTAAAGTCTTGAATTAAAAAGCTTGTTGAATATCACAAACTGAAAAAAATAATACACCGTATTAACAAGTTCTTGCATTTTAATGACTTGAATTCCAGGGTTTGTATTTTTAGGTCCTGAAATTTAACATATCTGTTTATTTAAGCTGTGAATATTTTAACGAAAAATATTTCAAACACGTTTTCATACTTAAAAATTCAATAATTCATATTCAATTTTCAGATTTCACTTACAAAATATTCAATACCCTTTAAAAATACGATGTATAATATTCAAAAGGTCATTTTCAGTTCATTTTATTTCAGTTCTAATATTCGCTTCCATAAATTCAGTGGATCAAATTCGACTGATAAAATTCAACTTTACATCCGGGAACTGCAGGAGAAGCAATAGATTGCAGAGTGAAGATCGCCAGCTGCTCTAGCTTTCACCAGCAGGTGGAGATGGAATAATGTAAGATTTTTAACCCAGTAAACAGGTGAGAAAAAGGCTAATAAAGGCAAAAAAAATAGCATTTAATTTTAATATCAATGCCTTGGACATTATAAATAATAAAAAGTATGAGTAAAATGAGTAAATGAGGTTTTAGTCATCTATATTTGCCCTTATGTAACGGAAGCCAGCTGGTGATCGCGTAAAGCTGACTCCTTGGATCCAGGGACAGACGTTGTTCTGCAATCTTATCGGAGCTTGTCTCCCATGCTGGCTCGTTACCTGCTCGGACCGGTGCGGTTACTTGCACATAAACCGTCTTTTGATGAATATGATGTTAAGGGTTAAGAACAATTACGAACAAAGATTTTCAAAACCAGAGAGATTTTATGAGAATGTCACAAAACAGTTTACTTGGAAATGTTAAACAGAGTTCAGGTATGATTTAAGGTTGGTTATGGATGGGGCGTCTGATTTAAAATAATTTAATATAATGTGCGAATGCATTAAAGGAGCGTCTTCAGTTGTTCACACAGAACCGTCTAATATGGCATAACTATAAGGAGTAATGTTTGCGCTGTTTAAACGCAGCTATGTCAGGATTGGGATAGGTTATACATTTTCATCATTTAAAAACCTATAGGCGAAAAAAAGGTATGAACGCAAAAGTGGCAATGTCGCAGCCAATGATAAGTAATAAAATGAGTCGCCTGTGGTTTGATAATAGGCAGTTGTAACTGACTTTAATTTGTTTTCAGTATTAAATGAGAAAACCGTTATTTATAACTTTGCAGCGACCGTTTGTATTTTATGATTAGCAATGTTGATATTTTTTGCAGTTATTAAACATATAAACTTATTTAAACTGGTTTAAATTTAATATAGTTGTCACTTGAGCTAGTTTCATAAGATTATGTTTAGAATGCGTGGTTTGACATGCGTGGTTGAGGGATTCCTGCAATGCAGCTCAATGTTCATCCTCATGGGGTATAACTGAGCTTTAATCGCCATCTACTGGAGAGAATGTATTTGCTCATTTATTCTATTAACTCTTTTTTGCAAGTCTGTTTTATGATTTCACAAAGTCAAACCATTATGTTTTTATTTTATATTTTGAGATGATCATATTTAAATAAACAATTGCTAGGGTAGCTAATAGTTTCTTTTTTATTGTTTAAAAAAAAATCAGTAGCCTATAAAATCATAATTTTTGCTTGACAAAGTTATTGGTTTAGGATTCTGGATGCATTTTTGCTGTGTTGGAAACTCATAAGCTCACACTAATCAATTATATTATCAGAAATGACAGATATAAGAAATCCATTAATATTCATCACTCTTTTTACAATTATACAAGCAATTTCTCGCCGACGTCAGCTCCACTTTCGGACATGGTAAACAGCCAGGTGTTATTCATATAAGCCCAAGCATGACATATGTCATGATTAATATAATAATTGAAACACTCTTGTAGGCTATTCTTATGCTTGGCCAAATGTCATGACTTTCACTTTCATTTTACATTATTATGCACACGCCCAGATATCATCTGAAACTTTGGAAGAATTCATATATTGGCAGCCATCCAGCATCTCTTAATCAGTTTGATATGCGGCGCTGGCTCTGACCGGCCACCGGAGCTCGCGGCCACTCGTTCGAATTTGTCGTGAGCAAGCCGCACCGCACATGCATGAAAACGTCAATTATTTCATTCATTCATTAATTCATTCATTTTTCATTTTCCTTTTGTCTCTATTTTAGAGGAAAAGCGATAATCTGGACAAACTAAAGACATTTTGCAAACGTTTAACCGTGGCAGAACCCAAAAAAATCGAAAAAAAAGAAGAGAAAGACGATACCAAAGTGATAGCTAAAAAGGATAAATAGAAATATTAATTTAGAATCACGGATGACTTATTTAAGCGCAATAGCCCAAATACATGTCATTAAATAACCTAATAATAATAACAATCATAATTTAAATAATGAAATTATAACCTATCCCAATCCTGACATAGCTGCGTTTAAATAATAACTGAAGACGCTCCTTTAATGCATTCGCACATTATATTAAATTATTTTAAATCAGACGCCCCATCCATAACCAACCTTAAATCATACCTGAACTCTGTTTAACATTTCCAAGTAAACTGTTTTGTGACATTCTCATAAAATCTCTCTGGTTTTGAAAATCTTTGTTCGTAATTGTTCTTAGCCCTTAACATCATATTCATCAAAAGACGGTTTATGTGCAAGTAACCGCACCGGTCCGAGCAGGTAACGAGCCAGCATGGGAGACAAGCTCCGATAAGATTGCAGAACAACGTCTGTCCCTGGATCCAAGGAGTCAGCTTTACGCGATCACCAGCTGGCTTCCGTTACATAAGGGCAAATATAGATGACTAAAACCTCATTTACTCATTTTACTCATACTTTTTATTATTTATAATGTCCAAGGCATTGATATTAAAATTAAATGCTACTTTTTTGCCTTTATTAGCCTTTTTCTCACCTGTTTACTGGGTTAAAAATCTTACATTATTCCATCTCCACCTGCTGGTGAAAGCTAGAGCAGCTGGCGATCTTCACTCTGCAATCTATTGCTTCTCCTGCAGTTCCCGGATGTAAAGTTGAATTTTATCAGTCGAATTTGATCCACTGAATTTATGGAAGCGAATATTAGAACTGAAATAAAATGAACTGAAAATGACCTTTTGAATATTATACATCGTATTTTTAAAGGGTATTGAATATTTTGTAAGTGAAATCTGAAAATTGATTATGAATTATTGAATTTTTAAGTATGAAAACGTGTTTGAAATATTTTTCGTTGAAATATTCACAGCTTAAATAAACAGATATGTTAAATTTCAGGACCTAAAAATACAAACCCTGGAATTCAAGTCATTAAAATGCAAGAACTTGTTAATACGGTGTATTATTTTTTTCAGTTTGTGATATTCAACAAGCTTTTTAATTCAAGACTTTAGGCATTGATTTTGTTCCATACATACCTTTATCTTGTATCACATGTTGTGGTGGTCCATGCATAATTTCGCCATGTTTCAGATTTGTTGGGACTGGCTCAGGAATGCTGATTATTCCTGCCTTCCGTGTAGAAACTGTGAACAGATGTTTTCAAGCCGCTAGGGTGGAGCTGCGCCTTCAAGATTCCACTTTCTGCAACCGCCCATTTTTCGGTGATTGACAGGCGCACCAGCCAATCAAATGTTTGGATTAACGCGCATCGTCCAATGAAAAGTTACCAAATGCGAGACAGCTCTTCTTACAGTACTTGTGGACATTTTGTCGGCTCAGAAAATTATGGACGGCACCAAACTCAGGGAATGGTACTGCTGAGGTAGTTAAAAAGCCAGAAAAACGTCGGCATCTAAGGCCAAATCTTTAAGTATATCCAGGTAAGGCACTTTTATTTGCGTAAATAATGAAATGGCCGCAGTTGGGTTGGCGAGTTGACAGTCTGCTAAAGCTAACGTTAATCACTTCCTGCTCTGCCCTGAACGCTTCACTCAATTTAGGCCTTCGCTTTTAGTTTTAAAGTCTTTTAAATGGTTGTGAAAAATAAGCCTGTGCCATTTTCATATCGTCAGAGGTTGTAATTATGGGCTGGAAGTCAGTATACAGGGTGGGTCCAGCTTTGATTCGATCTTATCTTCTCACAAACAAAGTTGTGAAGTGGAGCCTCCTCAATGTAGGAAGTCTGATGGGTGAACATTTGATCCTTCCTGAAGATTAACAGTTGAAAATGTACATTTAACAAGTGAGGGTTTGATTAAAGTTGGTTTTATATTCGCACATTCGTTCAATGACAACTTGTGACTCGCTCCATATATTGTTTACCATGGTACTTTGAATATTTGGTCAAGTCACATGCAAGTATGAATTGAAAACAACATTAGCATTATATGTTTGACTGTTAACCATGTTGTACTTTGATAGTCATTGGTTGCTAATAGAAATTCACTATTTAGAATTTGCAGAGTATTTTGTGAAATTATATTATTACTCAGAATGTGTAAATATAAAACCAACTTTACCTCAGTCATTTAACAATGATAACATGTAAGGTATTGTACATGTTTATTATTTATAATATGCATAATAAACATATTTTCAGGCTGATTTAGCATACAGTGCAGCCCATGAATACAGATTAATTGTACTGAGGTAAAGTTGGATTTATATTTGCACATTCTTTCATTTTTAAACTGTGACAACTTCTTTATATTGTTTATATCGCTTGCAAGTATGACTTGAAAACAGCATTAGCACTATTTAATTGACTGTAAACTATGCTATGCTTATAAAGTTTCACTAGGGCTGCACGATATTGGAAAAAAAACTGACATTAACCTTTTAATTGCCTGCTCAACCATTTGGTCATGTTTTTACTGTTTTAAATAATGGTTTACTCTACATATCATTGTTTGTTTACAAAAAATCAAGCAAACATAACCCTGTTGCACTACTACAATTGATTTTGGTTTTATTGTAAAAAAAGAAAAAAGAAAACATGTAAAATGAGAATATGAAATATTTTATGATATACTTAAAAAATAAAGATGATTTAGTATTCAAAAATGTTTTATTATGATTTTCTTTTTTAAATAAATTGGTCTTGCACTTAATATTTTCTGAATTTTCAGGGTATATGTATTAATCCTGCTACTTTTAACATAAACCGACATATAAACCATTTGGCAGAGGTTGATATTTTAGAAATTAAGGGATGTGTTGAGAGAAAAAAATGCATTGTGTGTTAACTGGCGACATTAGGAGTTAAGAAATGCAAAAAAAAAAAATATTGCTGGGGCAGTTAAAGGGTTAAGATAATTTGTTTTTCTGCGTTCTATATAACGATATGAATATAATTTCACAAGATGACTATTTTGAAAAAACTATGTAGAAAATATACAAAATTATACAAAACTACACAAAATAATATTTAAACATGTTTACAGGTGAAAACATAAGAACAAAGAAAAAAATGAAATAAGCAACACTTTATGGTTTTCAGTGGAGTCTAACAGTATTGAGATTAGGCATGAGCCGGAATAAGATTCTGACGGTATTATAACCTTGGATATAAATATGGTTCACAAAATTGTGTATACTGCTCCAATATACGGTTGAATTCAGAATTATTACCCCCCTTTAATTTTATTTATTTTTTAAATATTTTCCAAATTATGTTTAAAAGAGCAAGGAAATTTTCACAGTATGTCTGATAATATTTTTTCTTCTGGAGAAAGTCTTATTTGTTTTATTTCGGCTAGAATAAAAGCAATTTTAATTTTTTTAAACACCACTATTTTTCTTTTTCGTTAGTCTACTAAACAAACCATCTTTATACAATAACTTGGCTACTTACCCTAACCTGCCTAGTTAACCTAATTAACCTAGTTAAGCCTTTAAATGTCACTTTAAGCTGTATAGAAGTGTCTTGAAAAATATCTAGTAAAATATAATTTACTGTCATCATGGCAAAGATAAAATAAATCAGTTATTAGAAATTATTAATTAAAACTATTATGTGATACAGCTTTAAGTTTTGCTTTTATTTTAGGACCATGTTTGCTTTTTAATTTAATTTTAGTCTGAACAACAACAACAACAAAAAAAGATGACTCACAGTTGTAATTGACACCCATTAAAATGTCTTTCGGTTTGACACTAGTTTATACACTAAAAAAGAGCTTGTCAGGCTAATTTAGCATACATTGCAGCTCTTGAATACAGATAGTAACTTTTTAATCTTTATATTTTACTATTATTTTTCAGAGCACTTTTTTACCATTTATCAGCAAAAATTATGTAACTATTTAAAATGTGATCAAATAAATCATCGCCAATCCTTTAATATGTGTATTTTTAATCAGTACATGTAAGAATGCGTAAAATTTTTTGTTATGCTAAATGTCTGTCCAAAATCAAACAAAAAGTGCTCAGGGGTAGCTTAATTAATGTGTCAGTGCTCTTTGGGTAAGGAGTTTATCAGAATAAACACAAAAGTAAGTTCAAGGCACTCGGAAAACATGGGAAAAAATGTTAAGTATCTTTTTACCATTTTTCCACATTTTTCGAGTGCCTTGGACTTACTTTTGTGTTTATTGTTTCATCCATATTTTCAATTTTATTTGTAACATTTTATAAAATTAGTTATTTGAAACATTAAAGTGGAAACTACTTGCATTTAATATTGTTTTTATGCATGTAAAATCACTTTCTTGAGTTTAATCTGAGGCAGACAGACACCGTCTTTGACTCATTTGGTGTAGTTTTATTTTCCAATTGAGCTAAGGCAAGAAGTGCAGTTGCATGCATGAATTTAGACTAGAGGTTGTTGTATTTTGGTCAAAGAAACAGCTGCAGCAGTTTTGGTTCTGCTTTAACCCTTGTGTGCTGTTGGGGATGTTTTCATCAACCACTCTGGGGTGATTTTGAGTCTTAATTTGACTACTAGTTTCTCCGTGTTTCAGCAAATGGAATGATTTTTGGAGACAGATCTTATTTTGACATACTTTGGGAAGATGCTGGGACATTTTTCAAAAACTCATCAATACCAGAGTTTCCGCGGGTCTTAAAGTCTTAAAATGTCTTGAATTTTAAAAGCTAAATTTAAGGCCTTAAAATGTCTTAAATTCAATTAAATATTGTATTGTTGTCTTAAATCTACTGCTTTAAAAGTAAAGCCACCCAATCAGGCTAACATCAAATCACCAATTATCCATCTCAAAACCTTTTTTTATATTAAACTTTTTTATGCAAAAAATATACAATTTACAACATCTGTTAGACTTTTTACATCAAATTCTCCTGATTAAATTCCCTATTTAGGGGAAAAACTAAAGCACCACATCCATTTACATGGTCTTCTATCAATACATAAACTTTTTAGAGGTAATATAAAAGTAACCTGGCCATTAGAAAAAAGTCTTAGTGTTTTGCCCTGTAAAAGTCTAAAATTTCATTCATACTGGTCTTAAAAGGGTCTTTAAATTTGACTTAAAGAAACCTGCAAAAACCTTTAATACTCTCTAGGCAAATTGACTACCTTTTCATTATGATGGGGGCTGTTTTTGCCCCATTGACTTCCACTATAATCACATTTTTTAATTGCAAAGCCATGACACCAAATAGTCATGCATTCTTGATTGTTACTGGTATTTCCCTGTTGGGAAGAGGTCAAATTTGACATTTTTACTGTTTGTATTATGTATAGCATGTCTGCGCGAGTGTATGAGAGACCTTTGCACACTTATCTTGATATGGCTGAGAAAATCAAAATAAGCAGCTGAGCTCTCAGAACATAGTAAACATAGCAAGAGTATTCATGCACACTATAATCTGCTGTTTTACTCCATATAAAAGCTAGAAACTTTTTTGCAAAGGCCAGTCTAAAGGGTTAATGCTGCCAACTGATGATCGACTGTACAAATGACACATTTTACCTCTTCCCAACTGGGAAAACCCTTAACAATCAAGAATGCATGATTATATGCTGTCATGGCTTTGCAGTCAAAAAAAATGTCTTCATTATGGAAGTCATACAGGCAAAAACAGCCACCAACATAACGAAACTGTAGTCGATTTGAGCAATACACAAGAGTTAAAGACTCGTAAGACCCATAAGTGTTGTAAACATGCTTCAAAATAATTAAAGAGTGTGTTTTAGATGATCTAGCGACATTATTTGTAATGCATCTTGTGTGATTTCTGTTTTTCTCGAGGAGGTAGGAGACAAATAATCTCCCATCATGCCTTTGGTGACGCGAAACATCGAACCGCGGCACCTCTGTCGCCAAACGCTGCCAAACACGATCAAGAGTGAACTGGAGTGTGTGACCAACATCACACTTGCAAACATCATTCGCCAGCTTGGATCGCTCAGTGAGTGTTTGTCTAATGGAGTAAATGCTGAGGGAAAATCATTTGTGCTGTTTTTAACCTGTCATTCAATCACAGGCAAGTATGCGGAGGATGTGTTCGGCGAGCTGTTTGTTCAAGCCAGCAAGTTTGCTGATCGGGTCACTACTCTGGGAGAGAGAGTGGACAAGCTGCAGGTCAAAGTCACCCAGCTTGACCCTAAAGAGGAAGAAGGTAAGAAACGCATTGGTTTGTGCTCGAGATTTCGTTATCTTGCGTTGCTTGAATCCATTATGATTTTCTAGGGGTTATTGTGGGTTGTTTTTGCATTTAATAGTTTTGTTTATTATTTTAGTCATTGTATCTTTTTATTTACTTTTCATCCTGGTTTTTCTTTGTCTATTTTTATACATTTTTAGTTTGTTTGTTTTTTTGTCTATTTTTGGTACACCAAACTATTTGGTTTTATATTCTTTTATTTTTTTATTAAACAACTTAATTTTAGTTTTAATAGTTTTTCTAATTTACAGTCGTGCCTCGCTATAACGCAGTTCACCTTTTGCGGCCTCGCAGATTTTTTTAAGTGCAATTTTGACATGCTTTTTTTTTTACAGCACATTGTGTTCTGCGTCCTGATTGTCTGTAGACCATTGTCAATCAATCTTCCGTGCTATGTCTCCTATGCAGTACAGAATACGTTCAGCTTGCCAAATTGACATAAATCTTTGATCGCTAGCAGTGTGACTCTGAAGTGCTGTACTGTCTGTTTGCAAGTTTTCTCCCCTCAATGTCGACGAAACGTTCTACATCTTCAAAGTCACATGGGGTAGCACCCAAAAGGCAGAGGAAGGCCTTAACGTTTATAATAATTGTAAAAAATAAAGCTGACTACTTCTACTGTGGGCTATTTTTAGAATGCAACACCTGCGATTAATGAGGGGGACCACTCTATTGTTTGTTTTTTTTCTAATCCAAGCCATTAATTTAATTATTTTTCTATTATTCTTTCATTTACATCTCACTTTTTTGTGCATCCCAGTCTCTTTTTTTTCATGATTTGTTTGTATTATTATTTTTGTCATATTATTTGAAGTTTGTGTGTCTCATTGTTTGTAACCTATATAATTTTCTTATTCAAATCCTTTTGTTGTTTTTTTCTTATCCAACTTAATTTTAGCTTTTATTGTTTTTTCCTAATTTATTTACTGTTTGTTTGTTTGTTTGTTTGTTTGTTTTTTCTAATCCAAACCATTAGTTTATATTATATATTTCTATTATTCTTTAATACTCATCTTATTTTTTGTGTCTCCCAGTCTTTTGTGAATTTTTGTTTTGTTTTTTGTATTATTATTTTAGTCATATTATTATTTGTTGTAAATTTTTTCATTTTTCTGTTTGTCATTATTTTTAACATATATATTTTTCTTATTAAAATCCTTTGTAGTTTTTTTTATTATCCTACCTAATTTCTTTGTTTTTATTTTTTTCTTAATATTTATTTATAGTTTTTTTCACTAATTTAAGTCATTAATTATTTATCTTTTTAAATGTATTATTATTTAAATTATTCTTTAATTTTAACTACATTTTAATTTTTTATTATTATTTTAGTCAAATTATTATTTTTTTCTGTTGTCATTTTGTTTATTCTTCTATGTTTATATTGTCTTAATATCTTGATATATTGGTTTTATTTTTACATCTCCAACCCATTGTTTAGTTGATTGTCTAAAAATAAACAATACATTACATTTTTTCACTAACCCAATCCAAATCAAGTCCATTTGTATGTTCAAATAATTTCTGCAAAGCATTTTAGTATGAACTCTCATAACAAGAGCTTATTTCGTCACTATGATGTCAGTCTCATCTAAAGAGGTCACTAATGTCCAAACCTGTTACTCAATTAGACCATTTTGCTCATATGTGACATTCACCGCATTAATATACTCAATAAATATTACATTTATGCCTCTGACACACATTGTGTGATGCATTTCTGTATAGTAAGCCTCATGTCTAGAGCGGAGGCAATATTAGCTAATTTCCATCCTCTTTTTTTTGTTTTTTCCCCCTCCCCCTACTTCCCTATACATCACAGTCATTATTATGGCAACACAAATTTGAGAGCATCACTTGCAAAATGACAGTTGTCATTAAGAGCTGATCTGTGCACAGTGTAAACGAAGCCCTTATTTGTGACTGTTAAAGCAATGACTGAATACAATTTATTTGAAATGTCTGGAACTGCTTTGTTACATTGTTACTGTTTTGCTTTACCCCTCTAGTGTCACTTCAGGCAATCACCAGCCGCAAAGCCTTCCACTCTAATCTCATCCAGGACCAGCAGCTCTTCATCAGGGCATCACTGCCTCAGCCCATCAATGATACCTATCTGACCTGCGATCAGCCGCCGCCACTTGACAAGCTCAGCCCTTACAGGTACACGTGGGCTTTTATTTCATTCATATTATTGCTTGATCGTTTTTACCACATCTGATTAAATAAGGACTGGATCGTCAGTAGTTTTAGTTCTGAACTCTTTAAATTCATATAGTGTATAATATTTATTATCTATATTATAACTATTTTGTATTTACAGTGCAACAAAAACAAACAAAAATGTCTCTTGTGAGTTTATAAACATTAATATGATAAAGCCTATTAGAATGCGGTTCGAATGAGCCTATAGTTCATATTATAAAAGCAAAAATATCCATGTAGGATTGTATACATCTATATATTTTTGTATAATATGTGTTTTCATATTAGCCTGATGATACAGGTACATTTTTACAGGTAAAATATTAGCATGTGAGTGATCACAAGCCTATAAAACAGCACACAGCCATACCCTTCTTATTTATGTATATACAGTGCATCCGGAAAGTATTCATAACGCTTGACTTTTTCCACATTTTTTAATGATACAGCTTTATTCCAAAATGTTTTAAATTCATTTGTTTTCTGAAAATGCTACACACAATACCCCATAATGACAGCCTTAAGCCTTAAATCTTTTTGAATATGATGCCACAAGCTTGGCATACCTGTCTTTGGGAATTTTTGCCTGTTCCTCCTTGCAGTATCAGATTGGATGGGAAGCGACGGTGTACAGTCATTTTCTCCAAAGATGTTCAATAGGATTTAGGTCTGGGCTCTTGTGGAGCCACTCAAGGACATTCACCAAGTTCTTGTGAAGCCACTCCATTGATATTTTGGTGGTGTGCGTTGGGTCATTGTCCTAGTGAACCGTCACCCCAGTCTGAGGTCAAGAGCACTCTGAAGCAGGTCTTCATTCAGGATGTCTCTGTACATTGCTGCATTCATCTTTCCCTCTATCCTAGTCTTCCAGTTCCTGCTGCTGAAAAACATCCCCACAGCATGATGCTGCCACCACCATGCTTCACTGTAGGGATGGTATTAGCCTGGTGATGAGCGGTGCCTTGTTTTCTCCAAATCTAAGGCCTGGCATTCACTTCCAAAGTGTTCAATTTGAGTCTCATCAGACTAGAAACTTTTGTTTCTTATGGTCTGAAAGTCATTTAGATGCATTTTGGCAAATTCCAGATTGGGAATTCCGTCTTGCCACTCTACCATACAGGCCTGATTGGTGGACTGCTGCACATATGGTTGTCCTTCTGTAAGGATCTCCTCTCTCCACAGAAGAACGCTGGAGATCACCTCCCTGTCTAAGGCCCTTCTCCCCCGATCTCTCAGCATAGATGGCCGGCCAGCTATAGCAAGAGTCCTGATGGTTCCAAACTTTCACATACAGATGGAGGCCACTGTGCTCATTGGAACTTTCAGAGCTGCAGAAATTTTTTTGTAACGTTCCCCAGCCTTGTGCCTCGAGATAATCCTGTCTCAGAGGCCTACAGACACTTCCTTTGTCTTCATGCTTGGTTGTTAATGAATTTGCAAAAAAAAAATAGATATATAGATATATAAATTCAAATTAAAATAAATGGAAATAAATTAATTTAATCCATTGTGGAATAAGGCTGTCACATAAAAAAAGTGGAAAAAGTCAAGCGCTATAAATACTTTCCGGATGCACTGTGCATTCTCATTAACCATTTATATTGAAGTAGTTTAAACCTGGCATAATTCCAGTCTGCCTCATCTACATCTACTTGCATATTTCTTTTTACGGCATTTAATTTTTCCAATGTTGATTCAGTACTATGTGTGACCATAACATTGTAATACATAGAAACACAACCCCTTCCTTCTAAATTGTGGATAGTTATTTCCTCTAAACTTGATAAAGATGCTATACAACCAATCTGTGTTTCATTTGACGACATGTAACCCTTTAACTGAAGGTAGTTAAAGAAATTTTTTTTAGGATCCATATATTTTTTACATTCAAGAGTTCACACTTGATTATAAAGATTGTTTGGCATGCTGTCCTCACGAGAGAGCCCTGAGCTTATAAGATCCTCGAGCCCGGGGCTCCCTCTCATTTGCAAGGCGAGAGAGGAGTTTGAGCTCTGGTAGATCTCGAGAAATCCCTTGCTCTAGTAGCTATTGAACAGATAGAGATTGCTTTTAAAAGAGAACTACTTACTTGGAGCATGTCCATTGTGCACATTTGGATTAGTCAATTAACTTTAGTTGCATGTTTTTGGACGGTGAGAGGAACCCGGAGGAAACCCACGTGAGCACAGGGAGAACGTGTAAACTCCACACAGAAACGTTGGCTGGCTTGGTAAGGACTAGAACCAGTGACGTTTTTGCTGTAAGGCAACAGTGCTAACCACTGGGCCACTGTGCCACCCAAGTAAGGAGGAGGAGTAGGGGTGGAAGGGGGGATTCTTTAAAATAAAGATGGCTGTCATATGGAACTTATGGTATGTATAGTGGCTTAGGAATAGTCTGATTGGTGAATCATAAATTGGATAATGCAGGACCAGCAGCAAGCAATTTAAAACATGTGATCCTATCGAAATTAGTTTATAAATAAACTTTACTAAAAACTTAAAGGAAAGTAAAATCCCATATTCACACAAATCTTTTATGCAAACCTCTGTCCTTATTACCAGAAACAAATTGTTTATTACCCCAGATAGGAGTGAATTGTGACAATTTGGGTACCAATTTAGTCTTGTTATTGTTATTATCATTATTATTATGATTTTGCAGTGAAAACCGATCTAATGCAAGTCGGAGCAAAAGATTTGAACATTTTAAAGCAACACTGAGGTTTTTAATTTCTGAATTAATGTTTTTGAATGAGTCATTTAGGTCGGGGATTCACTGTTTCTTTCATGAAGTCAGTGCTTTGACTTTAAATGAATCATTCAATTGAATTAATTGACTCATTAAGACTTGCAGTCACCTACTGACAGACTTTGTGTTTTCTTTTTGTTTTGTTTTTGTTTTGTTTATCTATGAATCATACCAAAAAATTGTTAAATGATTTAATTACAGAAAATAGAGGTGTCTTTTCTTTTTACCCCTAACTTAAATTTTGTCGGAAATGTTTTCCAGGGAGGATGGCAAGGAGGCTCTTAAGTTTTACACTGATCCGTCTTACTTCTTTGACCTTTGGAAAGAGAAAATGCTTCAAGATACCAAGGACATTATAAAAGAGAAACGCAAACACAAGGTGAGACGTGCAAGTACATCACCTTAAAATATCCTCCAGAGGCCAGCTTCTTTAACGTGTCTGTGTGTTGTCGTATTTTTGTGTTTAACGCAAGCAGAAGAAGAAAGATGACAATGTTAACCGAAGGAACTTGAACCCTCGGAAGATCAAAACCCGTAAAGATGAATGGGAACGCCAGAAAATGGGGGCGGAGTTTGTTGTCCCCAAAACCGATGCCTTGGGGTAATTATAATAAATGCCTACTGTATTCCTGCATAGGTGCATGATTTTCTGCCAGATGCTGAATTTAAAGGTCCAGTGAAATTAAAATAACGTTTTCTAGATGTTCAAGGATATCTATAAATTAGTGTGCTCCAAAATTTGCGTTTAGAAGATACAAAACTGAGATTTCTTGTTTTTATTGCTATGTATTTCATGTCATCCCTTTGCTGATAGGACTTCTATTTTTCATACACATTTGTAAGTTTGTATAATATCTGGAAAAAATGCAATAGAAATATTGGAAATATATAGAAGATATAAAACTGATATAAAAATGTAAAGCTAAATCAGGGCTTGAAATTGCAACCATTTTGGTCGCATATGCGCCTGAAATTTAATCTATGCGACCTCATATTAAATTTGGGAGCATTTGTGCGACTGCAGATAATGGTTGTAGTGCGACCTGTTTTTATTATTATTTTTTTTTAAACGTGCTGAATCGCTCCTCCCTGCCTCTATATAGGTTCATATTAGCTAACAATCACTCTGCGGGGAATGCAACTGACTGAAGAGTGAAAAGTACACTGAATTTCGATGTGCTGCATTTACTTTGTACTCAGCGCAAATGTCTGCTTAATGTAAAATGTAACATAATATACAATTTGCAGCGGTGCTCATTCATTTTTGGTGGGTGCTCCTAATTTTTTTCTGGTGCTCCTAAATATTTAAAGTTGGGAGCACCAGTGCTACCAAGTAAAAAAGTTAATTTCGAGCCCTGTAAATGATTCATTGTTTTGTCACCTCATACTTCAGGGGTCTGTTCTTCGTACCTCGCTTAAATGATCTAAGATGATTTGGCAGATCCTGGATCTTTTAAGGACTGATCTATCGATCCTTGAAATCTTGATCAGCAATGCAGCGATTGGCTGACGGCACAGCAGCGTAATGACATCATCTGATTAATATTCAATTATCCATGTGAGCAAAATTACATCAAATTAGCAGTAAACGGTTTGTTAAATATGACACGCAATAACTCCACATTTGTTGTGAGCTGCAGGCTTTACACTTTCATGTGTCAAGTGTATTCATCATGTATTTCAATGCAAATCAGTGTATTTAGTTCCACATTTAGAAAAGATTTTCTTTATTCTAGTAGCCGGTTTTTTAATCGTTGTAAAGAATAACTGGTTGTTTACAAAAGCATTTTGATTTTGGTAAAGGCATCTGGAACTTTTGTGAAGCATCAAATCACCGGCATATTAACTGTCAAAACATGTTTATGACTGCATAAATGTATTATTGATTTTAAAAAGTCACATATTGTGCATTTTTATTATACACAATTTGTACTAAAGCGATCTAAAAAGTTCATATCAATAAGTTTTCTCTTTGCACCACCAGGTGGCAGTCTTTGTACTTTCATTTCAAGGGTGCAGATTAATATATATATATATATATATATATAGCTTAAAAATATTTACCATTTCCCCAAGTGTATATAACTACTACTGTAAGAAAATATCAGAATTCTGAACATACTTTCTGTATTATCTTTGCTTGAACTGAGCCGATCTAATCCTGTTTATATGAATTGAACCTGCTCCCGATCAGGTTTGACCTAGCAGAATTGTTGCTATGACAACAACTCTCGGATCAGCTTTGAAGAACGAAACGATCCTGGATCATGTCAAATCGTCACTAACCAAATCCAGCTAACTGAGTAATCCACGTACGAAGAATGAACCACAGGTTCTCATCAAATCTTGACCAATCAAATGCTCTCTAGTGTCTGTGTGTTGGATGGCAGAGGGGTGTAGTGAAGAGGGTTGGTGAGTCGCAGAAGAAAGTGAAAGTGAATAGCAGACAGGGAAGAAGGGCGGTTGAGGAGGGGGATCAGAAAAACTAGCTGCCGGATCACATTTCAGAGATTCCAGATCCGGTGTGTTCAGGCACAAATTAAGCCCTTGTGATGAAAACTAAACTCTATTGGCTGTTTTCTTTTAAGTGGACCAACAGTGCTTATAATTGGTGGGTGCAACTAAATTTTGGCTGATGCCCCTAAATTTTTAAAGTTAGGAGATCCGGTGCTACCAAGCAAAAAGGTTAATTTCGAGCCCTGTATATTAAATAGAAATTGAAGGTATCTCACCGGATAAGTGGATCAGTAGATTCAGATATGCCTTGTTGCCTTCCTGCCTTTTATGTTCTGCATTTTCAGCTTTCAGATTCATCAAGTGTTTTACAATATCATTGATGTCTATATACATTTAACATTATTGTTAATGTCTCTCTAACAGCAACTCTTCAGAAGCATTGAACGGCAGTATTGGCTCTGGTGATGATGGCTACATGCACACTGATAGTTATTTGGAACAAAGCACTAACTCCTACAGCTACGATCCCGGCTCTCCTCTCCCACCTCCAGCGCAAGAGGATTTCCCACCTCCACCACCTGCAGACACGCAGTGAGTGTCTTAAAATAGCTCACGCTTTCCCTGTTGTTGAGTAGGGCTGTGCAATATGACGATATAACTCGTATGGATAAAATAAGTCAATTGTTTCATATTTTGCTCTATCATTTATTTCCAGGTGTTACAAAATATATGTTTATGTTAATAATTTTTCATAATTTAGAAGAGCGCAATATTACACGCCATTATGGGGATGCAGACAGAAACATGATTAACAGCATCATGAGAAAGTTGCTTTCTTGAAAGTAAAATGTTTACATTATGCATTTTATTTAGCATTTATTATTATTTAATGTAATATTGGACCTGTAATCATTCGTTTTTGGAAAGTGTTTCATATTTTATTAATGTTTATTTTAGTCAAATGTTGACCCTAAAGTTCTAAATAAAGTGAGAACATATACACAGTAAGATACATGTGCACAGTTGAAGTCAGAGTTATTAGCCCCCTTTAAATATTTCTTAAATGATGTTTAACAGAGCAAGGAATTTTTCACAGTATGTCTGATAATATTTTTTCTTCTGGAGAAAGTCTTATTTGTTTTATTTCAGCTTAAATAAAAGAAGTTTTTATTTTTCAAAAAAACATTTTAAGGTCAAAATTATTAGCCCCTTTAAGCTATTTTTTATCGATAGTCAAACCTTCAATATACAATAACTTGCCTAATTCCCCTAACCTGCCTAGTTAAACTAATTAACCTAGTTAAGACTTTAAATGTCCCTTTAAGCTCTATATTATTGTAATATTATTTACTGTCATCATGGCAAAGATTAAATAAATCAGTTATTAGAGACTAATTATTAAAACTATTATGTTCAGAAATCTTTCCGTTAAACAGAAATTGGGGGGAAAAATAAACACGAGGGCTAATAATTCAGGGGGACTAATGATTCTGACTTCAACTGTATATAGATATAAGATGACTTATATCATGATTTAAAGCAGGGGTGTGCAAACTTTTTATTATGAAGGGCCAAAAACCAAGCTAGATTGAAGCTAGTGGGCAGAAGGTAAATAAAGGTGGGGAAATTTACCATGGGTAATTCCCTAATTTATTTAATAATGTTTAAAAATGATTAGAAAACCTTGCTTTATAATAACTAATACAGTATTTATTTCAATTGTATAATGAACTTATTACAGTAAAAACAAAACAATCTAATCTATAACAGAATTACACTGGTTTATGCCCTGATTTGCTTGCCGATGTCTTCTGCATAGTTCTCTATCCGTCAAGTGACAATATTTACATTTTTTAAAAAATCATTTTCAAACATCATTTAATTGAAACATTTCATTTTAGTTTACTTTTTTGTAGTTCAGCAAGAAAGGTTACGTCAAATTCAAAATGACGATCTCTGTGGTAAAGTCATTTATCTCAACCCTCTCCATCATACTCCCTCTCCTCTCCTCTCAGATGGGATGGTGGGCCAAATCAAAGGTTTCAATAGGCCAATTTTGGCTCGCAGGCCTTACTTTGGGCATCTCTCATTTAAAGTCACCATGAAACAGAAGTTAAGATTTTAATTTTTCCGCCATCGTGATGTACATCCACATAAATTGCATTTGAAATGAGAAAATAATGTCTCTGAAGAAATGACAACTCTAGCTCTGGCCAGCATCTTGGTAGGTAAGATGGCAGACTTGCTGGCACTAGGGGTCATAAGCCGGCAGCTAGCACTCTTAAACTCTCACATGGTCGCCCAATGAAGCTAAGCAGGGCTGCGCCCAGTCAGTACCTGGATGGGAGACCACATGGGTAAGCTAGGTTACTGCCAGAAGTGGTGTTCGTGAGGCCAGCAGGGGGCACCCAACATGTGGTGTGTGCGCGGGTCCTAATAGCCCAGTATAGTGACAGGGACTCTATACTGCTCAGTGAGCGCCGTCTTTCGGATGAGACGTCATAACTGAATTTTTCCTCTGAACTGTATATTACAATGGTTTGTTAATGCTGTAAATTGTGACCTCAACTAAGGTGTAGACTATTTTATGAGGGCTAATACATTTAAAGAAAATAATGAAGTGCACAGATGCATTGCTTAAAAGAAGAACTACTATAAACGTATAAAAATAAGAAGACTAAATGTTGATTTCATGTTGACTGTTGATGCATTCAGAGCTGACGAATGCTTGCTCTCTTCCAGGTATAATGAATCTGGTGGTGCACATACAAAGCGTGGCAGTGTTTTAAGCCCCAGCCATCCTCCTCCAGCTCCACCATCTATGCCTTCTTCCCCAGGCCGTCTGACTATGGCTCCTCCTCTGGCTCCTCCACCGCCTCCACCTCCCGGCGGGATGATCCCACCTCCTCCTCCTTTAGGTTTTGATTCGCCTCCGTCTCCTCCTCCGTTCACCGGCAATGCTGTTTCCATCCCGCCTCCACCGCCCATGGATTTGAGTATCCCAGCTCCTCCTCCCCCACCCATGGCTGGTGGGCCTCCTCCTCCTCCACCTCCGCCGCCTCCTCCAGGGCCTCCACCTCCAGGACCTCCTCCACCCTCTGCTCCAGGTCCACCTCCATCAGCAGGAGTCTCTGCTCCATCTGCACCCAAAGCTCAGCCGGCTCCAGCTGCCGGTGATGCTCGCAGTGACCTCCTCGCAGCCATCCGTCAAGGTGACAAAAGCACACACACTCGCATAGTCTTTACAGCTCGTTTCAGCCCAGATGAACTCTTGAAATGTCATTTAGATCATAGGTGTAGTCATTGCAGAAGAAACTCAGACATTATATATTTTAATACTCCATTAGGGGATTATAGTCCAGCCCTTAAATAGAAATTAAATGTAATATCTTTTGACAATATACAGTTGAAGTTAGAATTATTAACCCCCTCTGTATATTTTTGCTAAATTTCTGTTTAACAAAAAGAATTTTCTTTCTTTTTTTTTTTTTATTTAACAAATTTTTTTCAACACATTTTTAATCATAACAGTTTTTTTAACTCCTTTCTAATAACTGATTTAGTTTATGTTTGCTTTGATGACAGCACATAATATTTGATTAAGATGAATACTGGTATCTTGAAAAATATCTAAAGTGACATTTAAAGGCTTAACTAGGTTAATTAGGTAAGTTGCTATATAATATTGTTTTTTTCTGTAGACAATCAGACAAAATATTGCTTATGGTGGGTAATAATATTGAACTTAAAATTGTTTTAAAAATTTGTTGGCAGAAAATTTGTAATGATAAAATATAATTTAAAAATATATATAAAAATATATTTATTTAGAAAAAAAAAAACATTTTTGACCCTGGACTATAAAGCCTTGTAGTGACCTTCTGTCAAGTTTACAAAATCACATACACTTGCATACTCTTTAAAGCTTGTTCAAGCCCAGATAAACAACTGAAATGTCATTTAGATGATAGATGTAGTTACTGCAGAAAAAATCAAGGCATTATATATATATGTGTGTGTGTGTGTGTGTGTAAATATATAAATATATATATGTGTGTGTGTGTGTGTGTATGTATGTATGTATAGCAAAATACACTGTATAGCAAACCACTGTGTTTTCCTATTTGTTTGCAGGCAATATTTACTGATAAGAAATGTGAAAAAATAAAATAATTTATTTTAAAAATAATCCTTATTGACCCTGGATAACAAAGTGGTAAATGTCCTTTCAAACTAGAATGTATCATTTTATATATATATATATATATATATTTTTTTTTTTAAGCTTTCCTCTTTATGATTTATTAAGGTGATGAATGGTTTAAAATATGACAATACTTGGCTAAAATATTCTGAGGACCTGAGAGTCTGACAGTTTAAAGAAATTTTATGATCAAAAGTGGAGATTTATATTAACATGTTTACTGTAGGAAATGTACAAAATATGTTCATAGAACATGATCTTTAATATTGTAATGATTCTTGGCAATTGTCAAAAACATTACTCTGCAACATTAGATTTTGTAGTCCCATTTATTTGAAAAAAATTTTATCCAAAAAGGTAAAAAACCAAAAAGGTTTTAAACATTTAAGTAGACGCTTAAATTGCATTATGCTGTATCTGTATATGAAATCACTCTGTCAATTGACTTTACCTTTTGTAACTGTCTTTACAGTCACTTTAAATCAAAATAATGCATCTTTCAATTAAAGTATGAATTACTTAAATGAAACAGAAGCCAACAACAACAACAAAAACTAATTTGTCATGCATGAGCAATACTGCGTCATGAACAACACTAAACAAAGTGTTTTTGAGCTTGTCCACCTTTGACTACTTCCAGGGGAAGCTGAAAACACTTTAGTTTGTTCAGATTACTTTTGTAGAGTAAATCCACATGTGGTCAAATGCAATCTAAAAGACCCCTACTGACTGATCGTGATTGCTGACTGGGTATGTAGTGAGAGTGCACCAAACCAGCTATTTATACTTCAGTGTGATTATATGAACGGAGTAATTGATAGTTGCCATCCAAATCCCTTTCATTCACTTGCTTTCCTGTTAGTTCAGAAGCTGTGTAATATGTCTCCATCCTCATGTAAATTACCTCAGAGAATGTATTGTATGATGTCATGATCATATATTGCACGTCCTGACTGAAATATTACAATACAGGAACACAAACTAACACTAACAAACAAACAAACAAACATTTAACTTAATCTTGTACATAAGGCTTCTTGAAATGTGCCTGAGCTGAAATTGTGTGTGTGTGTGTGTGTAGGGTTTAACCTGCGCAAAGTGGAGGAGCAACGAGAGCAGGAGAAGCGGGATCACAATGGTAATGATGTGGCGGCCATTCTGTCTCGCCGCATCGCCGTGGAGTGCAGCGACTCTGAGGATGATTCGTCTGAGTTTGATGATGATGACTGGTCCGACTGAAGCATCTTCATCACCTGTGCAACCACATCAAGATCATTCCTGTTAGACTCGCACTTCTCATATTACTGTTTACTTTCAGTGTGGCCAAAAGCAAATAAGAGGAAGCGGGCCAAAGTGTGTGTGTGTGTGTGTGTGTGTGTGTGTGTGTGTCCGGAAGGCCTAATCTAAATGAGAGAGTGAATTATTTAGTTATTAATCCTTCTCCGGTTTCAGAGAGCATGGAGCTCTGTACAATGTGGCCGAAGGTAAACTGAGATCCTGTTCTAGTGTGTGTTTGTACGTGTGCGCAAGTGTTTTGTGTGAGAGTTTGTGGTTGCGTGTTTGTGTGGTGCGTGCAAGTATTTGTGCGTGCGAGCGTTTGCATATGTGTGAGTGCATGCGTTCGGGCATTTGTGCATGGAGTGAGCGTTTTTGTGTGCGTGCAAGCTTTTGTGCGTGCAAGCGTTTGTGCCTGCGAGATTTTGTGTGTGCGTGCAAGCGTTTGTGCGTGTGGTCGTCTGACTGTTTGTGCGTGCAAGCGTTTGCGTGCGAGCGTTTGTGCATGCAGTCGTTTGTGCGTGCAAGTGTTTGTTTATGCACAAACGCTTGCACGCACAAACAATTGCATGCACAAACGCTTGCACGCACAAACGCTCACACGCAAACGCTTGCAGGCAAAAACGCACGCAAACGCTCGCACGCAAACGCTCGCACGCAAACGCTCGCACGCAAACGCTCGCACGCAAAAACGCTCGCACACAAACGCTTGCACGCAAACACTTGCACACACAAATGCTCGGGCGCTTGCACGCACAACCGATTGCGTGCAAGCATTTGTGCGTGTGTGTTTGCGAACTTTTGTGCGTGCGAGCGTTTGTGCATGCAAAGGTTTGTATGCAAGCATTTGTGCATGCGAGCATTTGTGTGTGCGAGCATTTGTGTGTGCGAGCAACCTTTTGTGCGAGCGATTGTGAGTTTGCATGGGAGCGAGCGTTTACATGGGTGCGAGCGTTTACATGGGTGCGAGCGTTTGCATGCGTGCGTTTGTTGGTTTGTGCTTGTGTGCACTAGTGTTTGTGCGTGTGCACATGCACGTTATTGTGAGCGTTTGTGTGCGAGTGTTTGTGCGTGCTTGCGTTTGTGCTTGTGTGCGCAAGTGTTTTGTGTGTGCTCGAGCGTTTGTCCATGCGAGTGTTTGTATGTTTGTTTGTGTGTGTGTGCGTTCGAGTGTTTGTTTGTACACACTTGCATTTGAGTGTTTGTGTGTGTTTCCGTGTCTTCCTCTGTATACATCAGTATAGATTTAGCTAAATCTCACCATTAACATTATTCCATATTAATTAATCAACTGAAGACTTTCTGAAAACATGGCCAGACGCCCTTTATAATGCAGATATTTCAATAGTACGTCTTTTCTGTCTCTCGCACCTTGTACGATAAAATAATTTGTTTCATTGCCGTCTGTATTGATTCTCCATGACCAAAAGTGCTTTTATTTGTGTCCTGAACAGAACGATGTTTGTCAGCCGCACAGTACTAGTCCTTTTCTCTCTCTCTCTCTCTCTTATGTTCAGCCCAAGTGCCTGCTTCATAATGCCTGTTGTTTTAATGCCAAAGTTTTAGAAATTATGCAAGATTTTGAAATCAAAGAAAGTGGATTGTTTTATTTTGATGTATGTGGGTAATAATTACGAGATTTTTTTTCTATCAGCAACTGAAATAAAATCTTAAATATATCCTGTTGTCAGGCTGTTTTTCTACATGTTGGAGCTTGCATCAGACTTCAGACTGTTACCAGTTATCCGGTTTCCTTTTAGATGCACACGGGTGGTCTTTTAGCTTTATAAATAGTTATTGTAGGAAAATGAAGAATGCAGCATGCCAGCCTGTCATTCGTCCACAGTAATTTGGTGTCGGCATATCATTTAATCAGTATTAGCTTAATTATTCATAAGTTTTGACCTCAGTTTGCTTAGGTTTATGGTTTATGCTGAGATTCATTCATTAATTTTCTTTAATCCTTTAATTTATCTTCCCACTTTCAAGAGCTTGAGAATTAAAAATTTCAGATGTATATCGTTTATAATAACTATAATAGATAATATTAAACTTTTAAGAATATGTTAATGATAATACATTAATAAAAATAAGTAAATCTCATCATTGCAGATATCTTGATCGACTTTTGTTGGCTAAAAAATCATTTAATTAGGTTTTTATGCAGATACACTACCTGACTAAAGTCTTGTCGTCAATCCCACTTGTTAGAGCAACAAATAATGACTTCACTTCTAGTTGATCATGTGGAAAAGTGGCAGAAGGCCAATTTTTTTCTGATGAATCATCTGCTGAACTGCATCCCAATCATTACAGCAGAAGACCAACTGGAACCTGCATGGAGCCAAGATTCTCACAGAAATCAGTCAAGGGCAAATTCTTCAGCAGGATAGCGCTCCTCATACTGCAGCCTCCAAATCAAAGTTCCTGAAAGCAAAGAATGTCAAGGTGCTCCAGGATTGGCCAGCACAGTCACCAGATGTGAATATTATTGGGCATATCTGGGGTAAGAAGAAGAGGAAGCATTGAAGATGAATCCAAAGAAGATTAATCCATTCTGGGAGTCCTGCAGGAACACTTTCTTTGCCATTCCAGATGACTTTATTAATCAGTGATTTGAGTCAGTGCAGAGATGCATGGATGCAGTCCTCCAAGCTCATGATGGAGTCAGACACAATATTCATTCTGTTTCCACTGCAGCATGACTTTATATTCTATGCTGGACATTATTTCTGTTCAGTGATGAGACTTCTGTCTAAGCAAAGTCAGACCTTACTGTCCTAATTAAATCAATAATAATCAAGGCATGATCATATTTTATTCAGGTAAAATAAGCCTAATCTAGAGGCCTTTGCCTTTCATGTTAGCCACTTCTGATACCAAATCATAAACTAGAAGTCAAGTTATTATTTACGGTTCCTAAAATTTGGATAGATGACAAGACTTTTGTCAGGTGTGCTAGTTTGATTTCCATTTGAGTTATTTTAGCACCCAGCAAACATTATTTACTTTTAACACATGTCTAATAGATGTCTAAACAGAGTCGTCTTGGCTAAAACATGGCTAAATTTGGACTTTCGGTGAAAAATCTAATGGATGTCTAAGAATAGGCCAAAACTAGACCAGTCATCAAATAAACAGAAATGAATGACCACACATATAAAGTCTATTTGACGACTAGTCTAGTTTTGGGCTAGACTTGTTTTAGTCGAGCTGTTGACGTTTAGATGTTTATTAAATGTCTATCAAACACAAAATTGTTTGCTGAGCAGATGCTTTGTAGTTTTTTTTTTTTCCATTAAGTCAGTGGTTCTCAAAGTGGGGGTCGGGAACCCCCGAGGGGTCATGGGACAATGAAGGGGGGGTCGCCTGGCGATTTCCAAACATCTATTTATTTTTTAATAAACCATAAGAATGAGCATATTTTATCCATAACCTACTGAAAAGTTAAAAAAATAGTCATTTATAATTACTATGTACTATATAGTTACTATAGTAGCTCATATTTACTAGTATTGGATTGCGACCCCTGGGGTAATTACTTTATATTAAAGAGACAGCAATATCGTCAGATGCAGCAGATTGATTTTATAACAGCAGGTTAATCTCTCGGGCCCATTTACAGCACTGACATACATACAGGGGTGTAAAGTAACTAATTACAAATACTTAAACTACTGTAATTGAGTAGTTTTTCTGAGAAATTGTAATCTACTAAGTAGTTTTAAAAATGTGTACTTTAACTTTTCCATTTTTAGTGCAGTATCTGTACTTTTACTCCACTACTTTCCTTCAACCTGCAGTCACTACTTTATTTTTTCTTGTCTTTGGTGATTGGCTAAAGTAGAAAATCCGTCCTGTGATTCCTGTCTAATCAAATTGCACATAGAAGTAAATCACATGATTCTGAACAACGTCAACACATGGGCGCTTTATAAATGCAGCAAACCTTTTAGGATTAAAAATGTCAGAGAAGATGTTCAAAATTCTTATAATATACTGGATGTCACTGATGAGAAAATAGATGTCGACTGTAAAAAAAAAAAAAAAGATGTTGACTGTATGATGACTGAACTCACCAAACAGCCTCCTTAAACAATCACTAAATGGAAGGAAAGAAAAATTAAAGGAAGGACCGAACAAAGGAAGGACTGAACTAATGAAGGAAGGATTCAAGGAAGGACTGAACAAAATAAGGAAGGAACGAACAAACGAACGAACAAAGGACCTAATGAGGGAAGGAACAAAATTATGAATAAACGAACGGATAAATGAGCGAACACATGAAGGAAGGAACAAAGGAATGAAGGAAGGAATGAACAAATAAATAAAGGAAGGAAAGAACAAGGGCCTAATGAAGAAAGGAACAAAAAACTAACGAACGAACAAAAGACAAAAATGAATGAAGTAAGGATTCAAGGAAGAACTGAACAACTTAAGAAAAGGATTGAACGAATGAACAAAGGACCTAAATCAGGGAGGAACAAAAATATGAATGAGTGAACAAATGAAGGGAGGAACGAAGGAAAGACCGAATGAATGAAGGAACGAACAAATTAAAGAATGAAGGAAGGACAGAACAAACAAACAATGGAAGAAAGTTGGAAGGAACTAGAGGAAGATTACTAAACGCACTACAGAATGTTACGTTTACACATCACTGCACAAACTGCATGTAAATGCAAAATGACTTTTTATGGCGTAATACTCACTACTCTTGAGTACTTTTAAAATGCCTACTTTTACTCATACTTTGAGTAATATTTGCAACAGATACTTTTACTCTACTTGCAGTACATTTTTATGCAAGTAATGGTACTTTTACTTAAATAGGATTTTTCTGTACTCTTTACACCACTGCATACATAAAAAAATTCAACGAAGAATAGACTTGTGTCTATTGGTGTGTGTGTGTGTGTGTGTGTGTGTGTGTGTGTGCGCGCCATTGCATGCAAGGTTTCTGTATTTATAACCACCTCAGAAGACATTGGGGGTCACGAGTCACTGGCATTGTCATTTTGGGGGTCGTGGGCTTAAAAGTTTGGGAACTCCTGCTTTAAGTAACCATAATGTTAGTTCTAGTCATAATAATCCTGATTCCAAGCCAATATCATGAATAATACTTCAGTGACATTTAAATTTGATACAAATGACACAATCTGAACTCCTAATAAAAACAACAATACCACAAACATGTACAAAAGTTACAATTTATTCATTATAAACATTTTCCATAAAACATCTCATCATTTCAACAATAAAACATTCACTCATTTGGACAGTTTTTTGTGCAACATTTATACATTGTAAGTGCAAACGAGACATTTATGACGTATAAAACCATCAGTCAGAATAACAAATGACAATTTGATCATTAAAAACAAGTCAAGTCATTGTCGTAAAGTGCAAATGATTTTGATTCCATCAGTAAACTCTGAAACTGGACTTCAGAGGAAGAAAAATGAGGCACAAATCTGAGACATGTAAGCGGAGAGGAGGGTTTCTGCTTGGACCCTTTAGTTGGCAACTACAGTAGCTAAAAGGATACAGTGGCAGTCTTCAGTAAAAAAAGGACACACATTTACATAAACATTTTCATATTTAAATAAATTGATGGAGAGTAATTTGTTAACACCATTTAGACAGCAGATTTGGCACAGTGATTTCCCCAAACAGGAACAAACACAAAATGTTTAAGACAGGGTGGGTGAAAAATAACTGGGTGTTAAAGGGATAGTTCACCCAAAAAAAGAATTTACTCACCCTTCACTGTGAGCAAACCTGTGTGAATTGTAATGGAAGTCATGGGCTACTGGTTTTCAACATTCTTTGAAATATCTTCTTTTGCTAAATAAAGGAATTCAAGCAGGTTTGCAAAAAGGGAGTAAATTTACATTTTTGTGTGAACTACCCCTTTAAAAATAAGTAAAAAAGTTCATATCTCTAATACTGCCTTTGGAGGCCAATGCCTGTGCACTGAAATGGGAAATATGAAATCTTATTACCTACTGGCTGTTTTCTGCATGATGCTACGAGTTCTAGCTATTAAAACTGCCAAGTTGTTTTTCACCCATGTTTTACAAATGCTGGATTATTTCAACCTAATTTTGGGTAAAATAAGGACTAAACCAACACTGTAAAGAGCAATTAGTTACTTTAATTTTGTCTTTACTTTAAAAAGTGAGTGAATCTGTTCATGTTATTTTGTGTAATTATACACACAGTTTATTTAATGATTTTAAGGCAATGTGTTTACTTTAAGTAGAGTCAACTAATTGTTTTAAATACAATGGGTTTACTTTAAGGTTAGGCAACTAATCGCTTTAAAAGATATGTATTTACTTTAAGTTGAGTCAACTAATCATTTTTAAAAGCAATGGTTTTACCCACTTTTTTAAGTTGAGTCAACTAACCGATTCAAAAGCACTGGTTTTACTTTAAGTTGGGTCAACTAATCGCTTTTAAAAGCAACGGGTTTAACCGTTTTTTTAAGTTTAGTCAACTATTCGCTTCAAAAGCATTGGTTTTACTTAGAGTAAACTAATTGCTTTTAAAAGCAACAGGTTTACTCACTTTTTTAAGTTGAGTCAACTAATCGCTTCAAAAGTAAAGGTTTTACTTCAAGTTGAGTCAACTAATTGCTTTAAAAGCAATGGGTTTACTCACTTTTTTAAGCTAGGTCAACTAATCGCTTTAAAAGCAATGGGTTTACTCACTTTTTTAAGCTAGGTCAACTAATCGCTTTAAAAGCAATGGGTTTACTCACTTTTTTAAGCTAGGTCAACTAATCGCTTTAAAAGCAATGGGTTTACTCACTTTTTTAAGCTAGGTCAACTAATCGCTTTAAAAGCAATGGGTTTACTCACTTTTTTAAGTTGAGTCAACTAACCGATTCAAAAGCAATGGTTTTACTTTAAGTTGGGTCAACGAATCGCTTTTAAAAGCAATGGGTTTAACCGTTGTTTTTTTTAAAGTTTAGTCAACTATTCGCTTCAAAAGCAATGGCTTTACTTAGAGTAAACTAATTGCTTTTAAAAGCAACAGGTTTACTCCCTTTTTAAAGTTGAGTCAACTAATCGCTTCAAAAGTAAAGGGTTTACTTTAAGTTGAGTCAACTAATTGCTTTTAAAAGCAACGGGTTTACTCACTTTTTTAAAGTTGAGTCAACTAATAGCTTTAAAAGCAATGGGTTTACTCACTTTTTAACTCAACTCAACTAATTGCTTTACTTAAAGTGAGTAAACTCAATGCTTTTAGAGTGAACTTATTGCTTTTAAAACAATGGGTTTACTCAATTGGTTAGTATTAAACTAGTCAATTTATAAAGTAATACAATTTTGAAAAATTAAACACCAAGTTTAACCCAACAACTGAAACTGTCCTAATATTTTACCCAGTATTTTTAGAGCGCACCCTGTGGTCTATTATATGGCACCATAATAATCATTTCCAGAGCTGCCTGAGTTCAGACGTCGCTGGGGGTGTGTGTGTTTTTGTTGGGTGTGTTTGGCAGACAGCAGCACACAGTCTGTCGCAGCACTCTCTGGATGTGTGTGTTCCTGTAGGCATAGATCAGCGGGTTCAACAGAGAGTTTCCCGTCACTGGAACCAATGTGGCATAAGTGTACAGAGCAGGGGACGACCCATCGCCCAGGAGGCCGTATAAAGCGAATGGTATCCAGCAACTGGCAAATGTGGCGAGGATGAGTGCAAGAGTGTGTACCCGGCGGCGGGTGTGTGTGCGTGCGGACGGGAGTGTGTGCCTTTGCAGGGCGATTTGATGAGAATGGCGGAGCACGACCCGGCAGATGCGTGCATTCAGCTGCAGCAGCAATGCTAACGTTAGCAGGAATCCACCGCACAGGGTGGCTAAGTGCACTCGGGTCAAAGGTCGAAGCACACTACAGGAATCTCCATCATGCAGACAGTTCCACCCTAAAGCCGGAAGTGCACCTTGTAGACCAGCAAGAGTCCATCCGACGGCCAGGGCGCAGCGCGTTTGAGTGTGTGTGCGCTGGGATCCGTAGGTCAGCGCGTGATGTAGAGACAAAAACCTGTCCAGAGTGATCCCCAATAAGGAGAACACCGATGCACTTAGAGCGCTCACTAATAAACCCACACTGCCCAGTTCTAGCGCTTCTGAATACACACATCTGCGAGACAGGAAGTGCAAAAGTAACCCCACCCCAGCCAGGAAGTCCGCCCATGCCAGGCTGCCAATCAACAAGAACATCGGCGCACGCAGAGATGATGAGGAAAAAATGGTGGCCACTACAATTGCATTCTCGCAGCAAATCAACACTCCGGATACACACAAGGTGATGTCCCACGGTGTCATGACGGAGGCCTCCAGGGGTTTAGGGGGCATTTGGGAGGGCGGGAGGTCTAGGAGTTGGTTCATAGCCAAGATGACTTCTAAGCCCACTTCAGAGCTGTTCTGGTCCATTACTGTGGGAGAGGGAAAGCAGATTTAGTCAGAATCTAGTGCACATATTCAGCTCCTGCACTCCACCTCAAGGCCTGACCTCACAATGACACACAGAGTAAGATGAACAGCAGGAAATGACAATCTGATTAAAGCTGACATCTCTAGGCTGCACACTATAAACAGTGTTGGAGACTATGGCAATGCAAAAGCCAATGTGATGTTGTGTTCTGATTCTATTAATCCCTACACACACACATATGTATATGTTTTTTTTTTTTTTGGGGGGGGGGGGGGTGCTTGTTCAAACTACTTATGTAAATTGGATTTTAAAAAATGTGATTAAATTTATTTAATTTAAGTTGAAACAACACAATTCTTGAATTTTTCTTTCAGGCAACTTAATTGTTTTATGTTTAATCAACTTGAAATGGTAAAAACCATTAAGTAACTTGATTAATTTGAGTTAGGACTGTAAAAAGCACTACGCCTTAAATCTTTAAACTGAATCAATTTAACCTTGAGTCCATTGAACTTATATTATGGTAAACTGACTTAAAACAGCTTGTGTAATTTTAAAAGCAAGCTAGAGCATGATTAACTTCATTTAATAATTTACAATGTTCTAAAATAATGTCAGGACAAATTGATCATATGTTTTACAGTGAGGGAACTGTGTGGAACCCAGCATTTTTTTTTTACAGTGCTGAACATTTGATTAAATAAATAAATAAATAAATAAATAAATAAATAAATATATATATATATATATATATATATATATGTATTTGTGTAAAAATAACATTATGAAAACAAATAAAATCATATTTACTTATCATTTATTAATACATGTTTAATTTCATGTCATAAAATACTATAAACACCTTTTCAGGGTTTGGATTCGTTGTTATTTGGTAAAAAACACAATATAAATAGTGATATTATTACAATTTAAAATAACTCTTTTGTATTTAAACTAATTTGAAAGTGTGATTTATTAATATAATCTCAGCATCATTACTCTAATCTTCAATGTCACATTAACCTACAAAAATGATTCCTGATGTCAGTCAATGCTGAAAACACTTGTGCTTGATCATGACACAAATTAGTTTCCAAAATAATAGAAATATCTTTGATGTTATATCTATATTTCTTAGTATTTGTAATGTTTAACTCTGTCAAGTTAAAATATCCTAATATAAAAAAAGTAATATTATTTTCTTTTTTTTAAAATCAGAATATGACATAAAATATATTTATTTTTTCATTTTATCTGATGCCTTGTTTAGTATAGCATAGAAATCCCAAATGTCAAATCCTCCAAAACACAAATGCATCCAAAGCTGAAAATAATATTTACTCATTATTTATTAATATTATATTAATATATATTTAATTTAATGTAATAAAGTACTGTAAAACACCTTTTCAGGGTTGGAGTTTGTTAATGTTATTTGATTAAAAATACAATATAAAAAGTGATGTTATTACAATTAATATTTATAGTTAAATATTATAAATACTAAGACATAAAGGTATAGCATCAAATATATTTCTACTATTTTGGAAACTAAATTGTGTCATGATCGAGCAAAAAGTGTTTTAGCATTAATCATAATGAGAAATGTTTATTGAGCATCCAATCAGGAATCAGAATGATGTCTGAAGGATCATGTGACATTGAAGATTAGAGTAGTGACGCTGAAAGTACATTAATAAACTACACCCTAAGATTTTAAATTGGAATAAAATTATTGTTTTTTTTTTCTATTTAAAAGAAATCAGAATATGGTGCATACTCTTACTTTTTAATTTTATTAATGATGATTTAATAATGATATCTTATCTAGTACAGAATAAAAATCTCAAATGACAAATCCTCCAAAGCAGAAATGCATCCAAACCTGAAATATAAGCTTGACTCACTTTATTATAGTGCATTATATTAGTATCATCATCAACACTAATCCTCACAACAATTACTTAAAGGTCCTTTCATTAAATATTCATAGAGTGTCAGGATGGGAATCACCATTTTGAAGTTGACAGCAGATTTGAGCGCTGGTGTCACATACACGATTATGTAAACCACAGAAGCTCCAGCAATGCCTTAAAATACTCCCTTTATAGTCTATAGTCACAATGAATTTCTAACAACACAACTACGTTGAACTACACAAAATTCTTACAAGTAAAAAGATGAATAAATCAGACTTACGGAAGATGTAGAAGATTGCAAAAACGACCAGTCTTCACTCCACCATCCAACTGAGGATCTTGTGAAATATCTTCAGCCCTGCTGAACAACGGGCGTCCTCGCAGGTGCAAATCCAGCTCTTAAAGATGAAACTCTTGCTCGATGTTTTTGCTCGTTTCTCCGCGGAGCTCTTCTGTATTGAACACTCAGCTCCGGTGGGCTGCAAGCTATACCTTCACCGAGTCCCCTCTGACGTCAGCTACGATGATGAGGGGCGATTCTGCGCCGGCTGACCAATCAGGAGCCTCGCAGGAACACCATCCTCTGTCGTAATTTCATTCATAAAAATACCGCATTCTTTCACCCCGCCCACTGCGACGCAGCTGAGAGGACAAAGTGAATCAACTAACTGGCCCTGTTAAAGCACTAAAAACGACACATTTGCTCTAATAAGTCTTTTTTTTTTTTTACTTCTAATAACACAGTTAGTGATATTATGCTTTTGCATGCGCGTGTCAGTGTGAGCGCGCGCGCATGAGAACAAACGTGACTGCGAGTGAGTCACTGCTGTCCGTGGTGCTGAAAAACTTGATGGTGACGCAAATTGTGCCGCACTATCTGTGGGTACGTGGCACACTATACTATTACTACGTTCACCTCTAACATGAAATCCCATGTGTTTGGTTTGTCAATATCCTTGAATGAGTGACAAAGCTATCGTGTTTAAGTCAAGAAACGCACGCACGCGCATCTGTCTAAATTGCTGTTTAAATAAATGTCACTGCTTCGATGATTGAAGGTTATAACGGTGACATAATTTCCCTGAAAATGATGGAGATTCTGGCGCTTCCCGGTATATTCTGTGCGTGCCGGTGCATATCAATGAAGCAGGTGGGCGCGCGCTGCAATAATGGGGACTCTCCTGCTCTCCATATAAGGGCAGGCGCTTCCGGTGGTCACCAGCTGGAGGATTCTTATAAGAAATGCTTATATGAAATGCTCTCCCTTATTCTGTAAGAAATGCTTCCACACTAGCTAGTTTTAAGAAGATGCTAAAAACTCATCTTTTTAAGACTGCATTTTTGGATGCTTGATTATTCTGTGTTTATACTTTAGAACTTTTTTTGATGTATACTTGTATTTTATTGCATGTTTGATTTCTCTGTTGTTGTAGCGCTTTGAGTCTAAAAAAAAGCACCTTATAAATAAAATGTATTATTGTTATTATTATTAAGAAATGCCTTCTTCGAGAGTAAGAATTTTATTTAATTATTTATTTACGTGTTTGTTTTGCTTCTTATTTTTTTACATTATTATTATTATTTATTTTCCATCATCCTGGCATTATATTGCTTGTTCTATTGTCATGTATCTGCTGTTTAAAGCATAATAAATAATTTTTAAAAATCCTCCCTTAAAGGGCACCTATGATGAAAATCATATACTGTAAGCTGTTTGGACAGGACTGAGCAGGTATTGTGTGTTAACAGTTGGGGGTGATAGAAACACAATAAGGCTGTACTCACAGTTGCCTCGAACCGGGCCAAAGCACGCTTTGTCCCGACGGCCCGCACTCACACCACAAACGAGCCTCGGCACGTTTGCGTCATCGCTGCTGCGCTGTTCAGTGAGAAGCACTCTCTCACTCAGTAGCACAGTGGAGATTTCTCTAGTTATATCGTGTCAGTCGTTTGATATGCAGTGACATGCAGTCAAATATTTCGCCAAACAGTCCTTAGGGATGCGGTGACATGCAGTCAGATATTTCGGCAAACAGATTTGCCACTTTTGGCGCTCATAAACAATCATAAAGCCCTCATGCTGCAGGAATGAGGAGGTCTGCTGAAGCCGCGCAGCTGTCGTGCAGTGAGGAGTTCTCGTCCTTAATAAACTACGGCAGTTTGCGTTCACTGAACAGTAAGAATGATTAATAAATCCATATGGAACAGCCCCTTTAAAAGTCACGTCTCGCTTTCAGTTTCGGGCTTTGGCACGTTTTGCACTCACACACAAGCGTACCGCGCCAAAGCCCAAGTGAACCATGCCCAGGCACACCTCTTTCAACCGGGCCCTAAGTCTCTTTTCTTTATTTACTGAGGTTACAATAAGATCTAAATCCCTCCCGTTTTGAGGCCGACCGCAATGTGATGTAGGATTGCGGTTTCCACACCCATCGAATTGATTAACAGTCGTGTATTAACATGTATCAACAAGACATCAACATCAACAAGACAGAACCTGAGCAAAGCAACTGGGTTTAAAAGATCTGTTCGGCTCTCTGTGATCATCAATCATCATCAAATGTGATCAAGAATGAGTTTCACACGTTTAAAATGTTTTTAAATCAGGGCATGTTTGTAATAAATACAGCGATTTTACCGTCTATATCACCACAGCCGCATGTCAGTACAATTATTAAAGACGATGCTTCAATCCCGGTTTGTTGACGTTAAATCAGGTTTATTTTGTACATTAACATAACGGATATGCATACAGCAGTGCATATTAACCTGTATCCTGTCACATTTGCCATGCAAAAACAGTGCAAAGTTAAACCAGCGTGTTGTGTGTGCGCGTGTAATGACATTGTATGTCACTCATCATCGCAGAAAGACTTGAATTAGCTTCACAACAAATACATCAAATAATCATTGGGAAAGTTCTTACTGTAGTATTTCTCACAAACGTTGCTTCTCATGTACAAAACTTCTTGCACACCCCTTCAAATATGTTCAAGCGCAGATCTTCTTGTGCGCTCTCAAATAAACGCTGCTGAACTGCAATTTGGTACGTTTATGTAACGAGTATGTCTCCAACATTTATTAAATATGCTTGGAATATTTATGAATGTCTTCAATAGACCAACAGAGTGACATTAATGTGTCCTGAAGTAAAGTGAAACGGTTATACAACGTGTTTGCTGGCCTCACGCATCACGCACATGTCAGCCAGTCAGTCAGTCAGCCCGTAACCTTAAAGGGTAAAACAAATATTGCACAGAAAAGTTTGCGCTGTTATAATTCACTTACCTTTTAATACGTTTTTGTGCGATTATCACCCGCTATTAAAAAAATCCCAACTAAATGTTTGAATGAAAAGCTGTAATGTAGCCGTGGCAGGATCAATTTTAGCGTGGCGCCCTGCCATAGAAGAATGTAGCGGAAACCATGACGTGAGATCTGATTTCTTCCTGTCTGTCACTGTGCTGTTTATCTGACACAGCAGGAGATAGAGGCGCACTCTAACAGGCAGGTGGGAATGATGGACGGGGAGAACAAGCATTAAAGGCACATGCAACACAAAACAGCTAAGGTGTGTTCAGAGCAAATGCCAATGTTCTGAAAGGTTTAATAAATAATCTAATGGGTGTTTTGAGCTGAAACTTTACAGACACATTCCAAAGACAAAAAAGACATTAAAAATAGGTGCCCTTTAAGCTTTTGTGTTCAGGAGGAGTATCTGTAAACAGCTTTGGTTTGAGACGTGAACACAAAAAGGACATGAAATTGGGGAAAATAACGAAAACCTGTAGCTCCTGTTGATATGAAACAAAGTATGCAAGAAAATCAAAATTATTTATTGATGCAAATCCAAAAGTAAGCTGAAATCCCTCTGTTAAGCTTTTGTTTTTGGAAAGAGTATCTGCAAGCAAGAGTGTAACGTTAGTTTTAGAAGTGGATACAGTCATTCATTCATTTTCTTTTCGGCTTAGTCCCTTTATTAATCAGGGGTTACCACAGCGCAATGAACTGCCTACTTATCCAGCATATGTTTTACTCAGCAGATGCCCTTCCAGCTGCAGCCTAATATAGGGGAACACCCATACACACTCTTCACACACATACACTACAGACAATATAGCTTACCAAGTCACCTATATGTGGGAGAAACTGGAGCACTTGAAGGAAACCCATGCCAACACGGGAAGAACATGCAAACTCTACACAGAAATGCCAACTGACCCAGCTGGGACTCGAACTAGCCACCTTCTTACTGTGAGTTGACAGTGCTAACCACTGAGTCACTATTCCACCCTTTTATCCTTAGTTTAATAATGCATTTCATACATAAACAACCATCCCTAGTTAACAAAAAATAATAACAACATTCCTGGTGCTAATTTTCTGTGCAGCATGCGTGACGACAACAACAACAGGTGTGCAGAGAATCTGTATGACGGAAAATATGATTATTCTGACCTGAGCTAATATCAGCACATCTGATCATTTGAGCTCAGCTTATTTTTTCCATCCATGTTGCTGTTAAAGTCTGCTGCTGCTGCTGCATTGCGTTTCATCGATGTCATTGCCGACTGAAATTATAGTTTCAACTTTAAATATGCACCTCACTGAACTTTTACAGAGTTGTTTTTAGAGCATGCGAGTTATTTTAAGTAAACACTGACTGGACTTTTTATGCAATTATGCAATCAGCTTGATTTGAGGACAGGTCATACTGTTAGGGGAAAACAGATGGTACACTGAAAAAAAAAACGATTAATTGGATTTGCTCATATTTTAAGGTAAGTGGTTGCAAACAATTTAGGCTAAATTTAAACGCACAAATTAATTGAGCATTATTAAATATAATTTGTTTAAATTCAGCCCATATGAATTGTTTGCAACCACTTACCTTAAAAATATGAGTAAATCTAATTGATCATTTTTTCTCTGATAGCTGTGATGTGGAAGATGACAGTTGGTTTTTGACTAGTTCAAGCTGGAGTTTAGCTGGTCCTTGTTGGATATTTAGTCGTGAATTTAACAGTAAAATTCATTCATTTATTTTCTTTTCGGCTTATGCCACGTTTAGACTGCATGATTTTCAAAGTAATCCTGTCACAGATGTTTTCACACTGCATGACTATCTGGGCTTGTGTTTCGTCGCTGCTTTGTTTACACTGCAAGATGGATCGGAGATAGGGGATTTCATACTGTACGACTTTACTATAGAAAGAATCGGCGACAATTTTGTCCAAACTACGTCTCACAACCAAAAACACGTAGCATCTTTTGTTATTAACTACATAACGAGAAAGAAGCCTTTAATGGGGTAGAAAATATATTTGCTCACCCTGGTTTGAAGGGAATTAACATTTTTTTCTCAACTTTTTTTTCTTTTTCGACCTGGTTGTGATAATGCTCAGATGACACGTCAAACAGACACGGGTGCTCCTGC